GAATCCATAAAGGACCTAAAATTAAAATTTACTGTTCTATGGACAAATAGATTTGAGTTATCGCTTCTCATATAAAAGTTAAATGTTTAAAACAGAAAAAAAAAAAATAAAAAAAAAATTTTTTTTATTTTTAAGTTCATTAATTTTAACTTCCCCAAAAAATTTACATTAAACTTATAACTAGAGTACTGGCCATATCGTTGGTAATGTTTACATGAGTAGTTCTTGTTAAGAACAAATTTAAAAGGTATTTAATCATGATATAAAAATTATAATCCTAATGTTAAAAATTATACACACATATATGCATACATATGTAAGTTGTTAGATAAAAAGAAAACCATATCGTATGCATATGTTGTTAAACATACAGCGTGTTGTTTGTCGCTAAATTAAAATTAAAAATTATTGCAGACAAATTTATAATGAAAATTAGGGGAAAAAACGAACGCATTTAAATTTGAATTTTTCAATTTTAGCTGCTTAAACAAAATATGTAGGTGAAAATTGTAATAGTTGGCAACTATTAGCGTATAACCATAACAAATGAATCATATTAAACTTTAGACCATAAATTGCTTATATATGTATACTTGTTTTAAGTGCGTAATAATTATAATAAACTTTGAGAAAAATGAGAAGAATCACACAAATAAATTATTGTTCTCGTTTTACTAGAACCGAAATATTTTGCCAATTTTGAATGAAATGAATTTTTTTATTTGTTAAAATAAATTCTTCAAAAGTAAAACATTTAAAAAATATAATTTATAGTCAAAATATTGTTTCATTAAAGTCAGTCGAAAATATCATTTCTTTTTGTAGGTAACACGGCTGATATTTTTATTATGTCAAAATAAGTAATGTAAAAAATTCGAGTGGTCCATACTCATATTCACCTAGTGCACATACTCATATTCACCTAGCCCATAACCCACAAAAGTTTGCCTTATACGGTTCTTCATCTTCATGATTCCAAATATTCGTTAACATTTTTTTGCACTTAATTAAAAAATGCAAAATCTTAATTAAAATACAAAACTTAATTTAAATGCAAATTCATAAGGCAATTCTATTGAGATCTATAATTTCTTTGGATCCTATCTTTTCATGTATTCGCATCGTTTTATATTATTGTTTTAAATTCCTTGTATGAAATATACTATTACATAATCTTATTATGTAATTTTGAAATTGCTTAATGAACTGAAATATGTAAGTATGTCAATCCCAAATAAGTCGAAGTAAATTTTTTTTTTAAATTAAGAATATTTTTTTTAATTTAAGTTATTTATAACGCTCTTTATTAAAAAACTAATTTTCCCTCAATAATTTTTAATTTCCCATTACTTTCACTTATTTTACATTTCATGATTAAAATTGGAAATGAAAATCGTTGCAAATTTTTGTCTTATGGCTATCTGATTTAATGTAGTATTCACTCTATGAATTACAATTATGAACGGTAATATTTTTTAATCACAATATTGAGGAAAGTTGTTATTTGAGGCTTATACATTAAATTATGGAATGATTGACCTAGATAATTTTAAATATATTTTGAATTTCATCTTAATCTTAAAAAATTAACACAATAAGTTTAAATGAAAATTATGATATTCAAATAAAATAAAGTATGAAACTTTATTAAAATACAAAATCACCTTGCCTGAAACTTTTCATAATAAAATTTTGTTTCATTTCTGAAAAAAAAAAACAAATATTCAAATGATATGTATGAAAAAAAATTATAGAAATATCATTTCTAAACTTATACATATTTATACATATACTTTCAAACATATTTAAAATAAAGACGGAAAAATATTATAATATTAGTTTAATTCAAAGTTTTTATGTTCATAGAAGGTTTCGAATATTTGTATCCTTTCCATAAATTACAAAACTAAAAAGTTTTAAAAGTTTTCGGTGAGAAAAAAAATAACCTTTTTTTTTCATTCCCCTTCTCTACCATACTATACAGTATTGCTTCTGAATTCTGCGCTTTAAAAGTATGATTCGAAAAATATCCACCAAATTATAATACATATAATAGCATTATACACTCCGACAGAATTTAAGTGGAAAATTTTATGATTACAATATTTTTTAAATGAGTTATAAGTAGATATTCAATTTAATCTGTTTTATTTTTTTGTAAATTTATCTTACATATATAGTATTAATATAGGTGCGTTATTATATATAAAACTATAATAATAAAAGTAACATTTACCAGCAAGAAACTTTTATTTTGCCTTATTAAATTGGTCAAATAATTAATATTTTAAATTAATAAAAAATATATTACGCTTATAAAATGAACAACAAAAATAAAAATCTTACCATACTGCTTTCGATGTTATAAATTCACACGTTAACATTGCTGCATGTTACAACATAAATTCACAATTCTTCAAAAATCTTATACTCGTATTGTGAATAAATAATTATTTTTGTTAAAAAATAACTCATATTTTTGTCACCCATAATTGTTGTAATTTAACAAAGGAATTAGTTAAATTATTCAGTTAATTAAAATAATATTTATCCTTACACGTAATTTGTTTTAAATTTGTACCTTAAAAAATTTTACAGTGGGTATAAAATAGGATTAAGTTAGTTAATTTGTAAATATCAAAATGGTTTAGGAGTTTTAATTAAAAATTTGTCTTGATAATATAAAATTCTTTGGCACAAATTTTATTTTATTTGAAAAACATAATAGAAAAAAATACAAAATTAATTCCAATAGAATAATGAACTGAAATATGGTTATAACATGTATCAAAATTAAATTCACATTGAAATGTTAAAAAACAAGGCAGATTCCTACGCATGTAAATTTTATTCATGTAAATATTGGATTTCCTATAGAATTGGTCGATTTTGAGCAAAGTTCCCGAACAAAATTTGAAGAATGAACTTCATGCGGTAAATATGAATGTAAGGACCACGTCTCTATTTTTTCATCTACAGATATTTAGACTATCTGAATTCCTTTCTTTAAGCTAAAAGCTGAACAAAAGCGATTTTCCGTGGTCAAAGTCAGAATTCACACAGAATCCACATATTTAAATGGGGCTGCCCAGGCAGTCAAATCAATTACCACTTATCTGGTTCCATGCGTGTGTTACATTATCTGCAAAATAATTTCAATTATTTTTGTCGTTTCGTTGTTGTTCTGGGTTGACAACGGAAATCGTCTGCCGTTGCCGCTCATCGTTTTGATTCTGTTTTCAATTATGCGGGATTTATTATAGAGAGAAAAAAAAGTAAAAGACAGGAGATTAATAAGCTCATATCGATTCGTTTTGCATCATTAATCTAAAGAAAAATCCTGCATATCGTTAAAAAATATTAAAGCAGAACCTTTAGTAAGAAATATAGAAAAAATTTAGTGTTGAGGTGAATTTGTCTTTTATTTGGAAAATTTGACCGCAAAAAGACCGAAATTTAGAATGCTCTCCGAGGTTAAATGTTGAGCTATACGCACATAATCCAAATTCTTTTGACAGTCAAAAAAGGGATATTGTAATATTCCAAATACATAAATATGTATAGATATATTGCATAAATGGTCCAAAATAATTCAAATTAAAATTAGAGCTTACACAATTAATTTTTTGTAATTTAAAATTATTTGTATGTACAGTTTGTATACATATATGTATATATGTGCATATATGTGTTTTAGAACCAACAACTATTTAACTTTTATAATTAAAAAGTATGAACCATTTCGAATTAAAGAATGTGTTTTTTTCCATGTATATTTATTTTATTAAATATTTTTAAAATATTTGCCGTTATTATTCATATTTCGTTCAATATTGGCCACTAAGGCTGTTATATAAAATGGTTTTATTTTGTATGATCAAAAATATTTTCCTCATTGTTGGTGCGAAAATTCTGGACACAATATGTACATATTGTATGCATATAAATATTTCATATTTTAAAATATAAAAAGTGTATGATTGCATCTAATAAACAGCTCATTATTTTAATTATGTTCAAATAAAAGTTGAAGACTTATTATGAAAACATTATAGCTTATTGCAGTGATGTAAATCTAAAATATATGTATGTATTGTACTAACATTACATGAGTAAATATATACATTGAAGTGTTATTTCGGATTAACAATTTTACAAACAAAGGCAAAAATTGTATAAAAATGTATAGAATTTTTTCCATTTTTAAAAAAAATAATAAAAATCTACAATTAAAAAGTCAAAACTCTTTTACAAATAAACAACACTGTATAGGTCATGTATACAAAAATGTATTTGCATTTGTATTGTATACATAATTCATAAGGAACAAATTTTTATATGGTCTGCCATCTATTGTGAAATATTAAATAAATTGATAAAAATATCGTTTAAGCTTTACAGAATTTTCATTTACCACAGAAATGATATAAATTTTTAAGGGGATTGACGATCACTTCCCACAAAAATATTATTCAGCTGTTTAATTTTAATGGGCTAATGAATTTTTGTTGAAAGTGATCGTCCATTGTTTTCATTTAGAGGTTCATTATTTTCATTCTTATTTTTGCTTTAAATTTAACGTGGATACAAAAGCAAAAACTTTTCAAAATTTTGCTGAAATGTTTCCATGTAATTTTTGGATACATTTGCTTTTCTCTTTCTTAAAGCGAAGTTGCTTTATCTTCAAAAAATGTAACCCTTTCTTTATTACATATGTATAACAAAAGCAAAATATTAAGCATTTTTTTATTTAATATGTCGTACACAGTAGCCAATTAAATACTTGATACATCAAATAAAACTCCAAACAAACAATTTTCCCATCTCTGTTTAAAAATTAAATGACAGCTTGTGGTGCAAAATTATATTATATTATAAAATAGAATTGTGATTTCACGTAAACAAAGAGCAAAAAAAATATTTTAATTATTATAATCGAAGAAAAGATAGTTTCACTTTTTAAATATATTTTTTTTGTATAACAAATATTTAAGCAACTACCCAAATTATAGTAATTTTCCTACACGCAAAATATGTCGAGTGAAGAAATTGGATTGTCAAATTTAGCCAAAAGTGATCAAAATGAATTGACTGCGATTCCACCACAAGAAAATTGTATTGCATCAGTTTCATCCAAAGATAAAGAACCGTGTGAAGAAGAGAGATCATGCTGGATTTGCTTCGCAACTGACGCAGATAATATGCTTGCAGCATGGGTTCAACCGTGCAAGTGTAGAGGCACTACTAAATGGGTTCATCAAAGTTGTTTATATCGCTGGGTAAAGTATTTTAAATTATAAAGATACTCTATATAAGGTTCTATTAAAAAATAATTTTGCGGTTTAATTTCAGGTAGATGAAAAGCAAAAAGGGAATGCTTTAAAAAGTGTGAGTTGCCAACAATGCCAAACTGAATATATCATAGTTTTCCCGCAAATGGGTAAATTTGCAAACATTTTAGAAGGTTTCGACAACATGGTGAAAAGACTAAGTCCCTTTTTAGCTGCTGGTATTATTGTAGGCTCTTTATATTGGACTGCCGTAACATATGGCGCAGTTACAGTGTTGCAGGTTATTTAATTTTAAAATATTTGTTCCCAAAGTTTACAATTCAAAGTTAATTATAGATTGTTGGACACAAGAAAGGAATGACTTTAATGGAAAATGGTGATCCATTAATTTTATTAATTGGTTTACCAGCCATACCGGTAGGTCTTGTATTAGGTAGGATGATTAGATGGGAAGATGCTGTGATACGTCTAATAAGAAACCGAAGAAATGTTGCTAGAAAATTCCCTTTAATGAGTTTAATTATTCCTTACCCGTGCGTTTGTTTATATTTAAAATTGAAAACAATTTAATTTAGATCTACAATAATTTCAGAGATGAATCAGACGAAAATCAGGAAAACCATCAACAAAATCCGAGTACACCATCACTTTCTGATCCATTATCAGCTACACGTGTTTTCTGTGGTGCACTTCTTTTGCCAACTATTTCTTCTCTAGTGGGGAGATTACTATTTGATTCAGTTGACAACAGCTTGCATAGAACACTTTTAGGTGGTTTAACTTTTATAACTGTTAAAGGAATTTTGAAAATTTATCTGAAGCAGCAACAATATTATAGAAAGAAGGAAAGAAAAATAGTAGATTATACAGATGAAAATATCCGTGAATATGCCATTAACAGAGGTGATTCAAGAAGTTTTGCAGTAAATCCTAGGGAAAATTTAGTTTGAATTCATATATTTTTTAAATTTTATTGTTGTTATTAGCATCAGCATATTTGAAATTTAAATTATTAAATAACAAATAAAACTTATATTTCTTTTAAATTTACCAAAAAGTAGAAGTTAAAATGGATTATTAATCGTAATTTCCAAAACTTAAACTTCACTAATTTTAATCCAAAAATATTTTTACATTTAATGTTAATAAATTTTAGTAAGAGCCTAATAAGAAAAATGTATCTGCAGAAAAAATACCCAACCTGTTATTACAAAATTAATACCTACTCGTTTTTTATAGAAGGGGCCTGTTTTACATTTACATGGTTTTTAATATTTTGTTTTTAGAGAATAAAAACTATGAAATCATAGTACGATGTCATTAGATTCATCAGATTCTTAAACTTGAAGTTACCCCACTTAACGCACAGTAGAATTTCAGTTTGATCTCAGAAAAGTTTTTAGACGCAAAGAGACATGAAATTTTTAGTTTGCAACTTTTTAATTGTTCTTTTCAATTGCATATGCTTTTATTCAAACACACACACATGCAGCTGTATGATCGCATCCAAATAAGCAATCAGACAGTTTGTAATTTTATCCGATACACTTTTTTGAAATACATTACATATATAATATAATATATGTATGCATAGTTCATATTATGTAATTTCTTCAAAAAACTTTGACGGCAATGGTCGTCCCTTCAAATATAAGTTCACCTCTGTTGCCGGAATTAGCTGTCACTTATGCAACAGGGGTAACTAATAAATTCTTCCAAAAAAAATAATTGAATCATTTCACTCCTTAAACGCTTCTTAGTTGAACCTAAAACCATAGTGTAGAAATTGAATCTATATCCGATTCTCCAAATCGATTGGATTCTTATTTTTCGATTTTTTTTTTTAAACAATCAAAAATTAATTAAATACCATCCTACATCTTTCAATACCTTTCATACTGCCACATAAACTACAAACCTATCTGAGATAGGCATGGTGCTGCCGATCTTATCCTTTTAAGTATTTTTTTAAACTCAAATATTACTTAATATTTATATAATTAATAATTTTTTGGTTAAAAAAACGTTTCTTTTTAAATTAATTTTTCTAATTTTCATTATTGCAGAAAATTCCGAAAAAGTGATGAAATTTTTCATAAAGAGATTATCAGAAAATTGGTAGCTATTGGCTTACAATTTTTTCAAGTTTTAATACAAGAAATACGAAAGAAAATTCCTTAACACCGAAAAACACATTTTTTTGTGCTAATTACTTAGAAAGCATAACAGACTTTATCGAAGCCGTGTCTCTTAAAAAATAATTCTTTTTTTTCGCGAAATACATTATATCGGCACAAATAGTCCTTTTGGCAAATTGAAATTATGGATGCGTCGAGTTTTAAATATAAGTGCTTTTACGAGACAATATTACTTCTTGATTTCACTTATTGGACCCCTGAAAATTTATTTCTTGACAATCAGCTGATTATTCATTCCGTTCATTTTTCAAGGAATTTGCTTCATCAATTTTAAGTAAATGAGGTAAAATCATGGATTTTTTAAAAGATTGTAAGCGTCAATAGCAGTTGTAAAAATAACTTGGTTAAAAAATAATTGAGTTATTTTCATTAACGTCAAATCCTCTTAAAATTGATATAACTAATCAAAAACTTAAACAAGAATCACATCTCGTGACGGAATTTTTTTTTTTTAATAAATTAAAATTTAACACTGCCTCGTGAAGGAGCGAACTTTTTGTCTTATTAAGAAGACCTTCTTCTTTATAGATTACAATACTTTTTTCGCCATTCTTATAATTCTTTGCAGTACTTTTTTCTTAAGGTACCAAAACTCAGCGTTTTCAATAACCCACTGTAGATGTCGATGAAAGTTGTCATATTAATGTCATTAATGGCAAATTTTTTCATATTCGGATTTCATAGTTGTTTTTCTTTTATAAATTGCATTTTTGCGACAAATACGATTACGGAATAATTAAATTACATACGAAATCGTGCTTTCAATGAAATTTTTAAAAAGTTTTTATTAAAATTCCGTTCATATAGATCATATGCCGTACAATGGCTGTTCAATTAGATCCTAGTGTCAAAGATGATTTAAAAACTCAATTTGTTACTCGAGAAGGTACTTATCGATTGATGACTTTGTCAGAGTATTCTCGACCGAATCGCGTAGGATACACGAATAGTCAAAGTTCACCACAAGTTAGAGTTTCAATTGTAACGTTACCATCAATAAATCAGTCTGAAGGAGTTAGCGGCATATCTTCCAATGCAAATTCGTCATCTGTGCAACAGCAAAACCAAGGAGGAAGTGCTTCTTCTGACGGTGTATCTAATAATCCTAATATAAATAATAGTAGGCAAGTTTTAATATCCGGAGGTGGTACAGTTTCAACAGCTCCACTTGATTGCAGATTAAATAGTCTGCCAATACATGCGTCAGGTGCAGCGAATGATCAGAATGGTATGATGAATGGGAGCCCATTTTATGGAGGTGATCGAATTTGTTTTAACTTTGGAAAAGAATTATACGTTTATGCATTTCGTGGAGTAAAAAAGGTAATAAAAATATATGCGTAATTCAAGTCACGTTTGAATTTGATTTTATAAAATAAAGAAAACTTCTCAGTATTTGAATTTTTATAAATTGTATGACTATTATTTCTTTTAGGGTACTGAACTAAGTAAGCCAATTGATAAGAAGTTATACAAAGGAACAAATCCAAGCTGTCACGACTTTAATTTGAAAAGTGCGACTATTGAAGGTGCCCCCTTGTTAGTTGGATTTACAACTGGACAGATTCAACTTGTTCATCCAGGAAAACGGGAACAGGGGAAATTGTATAATGAAGAAGTAAGAAAATTTTCTGAAATTTGTTATCATACTAAAACATTTAATTCTTTAGAGACTCATCGACAAGACAAAAGTTACCTGTTTAAAATGGTTGCCCAATTCTCCAAATTTGTTTTTAGCATCACATGCTTCTGGTCACTTGTATCTTTACAATGAAGAGTTACCGTGTAGTCCTACAACACCAAATTATCAACCATTTAAACTTGGAGATGGGTATACAATTCTTACTTGCAAGTCTAAGTCAACACGGAACCCTTTGTACAAGTGGGTTTTTAGTACAGAAAATTGTAGTATAAATGAATTTTGTTTTTCACCATGTGGATCTAACCTGGCGATTGTGTCACAAGATGGATTTTTAAGAGTATTTCATTATGATACAATGGAATTGCTGGGAATCGCTAGATCTTACTTCGGAGGATTTTTATGTGTTTGTTGGTCGCCAGATGGGAAATACATCGTAGTTGGAGGTGAGGATGATTTGGTTACGGTTTGGTCGTTAAGTGAACGTCGTGTGGTTGCAAGAGGACAAGGTCATCGCTCATGGGTTTCTGTCGTAGCTTTCGATCCGTATACCACATCATACAACAATTGGGATGGGGGAGATTTTTCCGATGATGAGAATCCAATGAATGACATTAGCAGTAGGTACTGTTCTTCAAACGATGGTTTCGAAAACAGTGAGAAGAACGGAAATAACGGAAGAAGACCTAATTCTTCGACTATTCGTGATAGTTTAAGCCAACAGCATGATAAGTTAGCTATCTGTTATAGGTTAGGGTCTGTCAGCCAAGATACTCAATTGTGCCTGTGGGATATAACGGAAGACGTTTTACGACATTCTATCCCTTTACGACAGCGAAATTCTAGCATAAACGCTAACAGTAATACTACTAATAATTGTGGTAGCGGATCATCAGGTTTGATGTCGGGATCCACTGTAAACGATAATTATCAATTGGTTAATGGAGAGTTACCAAATGAAAATTTTAAAATTTTAAAACCAATAACATCGGTGGCTTCAGCTAATATTGCAAAATCAAATGATGATGCTTGTAATAACACAAGTTCGAAAAATAGTAGCAACTCAAGCAAATTTTCTACAGCTAATTGCATAACATCAGACTCAGCCAGCTGTAGTTCATCTGGAATTAACAACGGAAGTGAAAATACTACTACATTAACTAGTAAACATAGCAACAGTAAAAATAATAGTAATTTAAACAAATTGACTAATTGCATTAATGCGACGAAATCCCCCTCAGACACATTAGATAGCAATTGTGGTTACACTATAACCATAATTCGAAATCCTGGTAACCCTTCAAAATCATCAGAATATTCCATTGGAGGCAACAACGGGACTGGCGGTTTATCTGCGTTCAATAGTATAACTCAACGTTTAACGAATTTTAGTTTTAGTAGCGACAAAAACCATCATAATCATCTAAATAGTGTAAATTCAACTAATCGCAATCATAATCGTAAAACATTTAGTTTATCAAAATCAAGTGGGAATTACCATACATCCAATTTATTACAAAATAGTTTAAATAGTCAAAATACAGATAATTCTAATACAATTTTAGCAAATAAGCATTTAAAACTAATTTCATCCTCTGGTACTACTAATCCTTCAAATTTCGTGGGCTCATGTTCTGTTGGAGCTAGTTCATCTTCATCAAGTTCAAGTGTGATGACATCATACGATCCAATGAAATTGATAGGAACTCCAGCGTGTCCGCGTTTTGATGAGTGTCCAATATTAGAACCTTTAATATGTAAAAAAATCGCCCACGAGCGTTTAACGGCTTTAATTTTTCGTGAGGACTGTTTTCTCACTGCATGTCAAGATGGATTTATATATACTTGGGCAAGGCCTGGATATTCGGTAAAACATATAAAATATTTTTTTTACATTTAGTTCTTAATCGTTTTTTTTAATAATTAATTATAGAATGTTCCCCAACATATGTCACCTAATCCCAGTATAACTCCAGGAGGAACTGTAGTTTAAACTTAATAATTTTCTCAACTAAAAAGATAGCTTCAGGAATTAATTAAATGAAGTCAAGATGTATAAATATAAATCATAAGCCGTTTTAAAAAATTTTGATATATTTCATGAAACAAGCATATTCATATTTATAAGTAAACAAAAAATATTGACTTGGAAAGTGAAATAAAACTTTACAAAACTAAAACTAATTAAATTTAGAGATAGTATTTAAGTATAAGCAAGAACATCCTTTACATTTTTGCAATAACTGTTAGTTATTGATATTTTTATTTAATTTTTGTTCAAATAAATTTGTTGTTGTAATTGTTTTTAGAAAAATTTATAAAAATTGATTTTCTTTAAGTTAAATAAAATTTAAAAAAATGAAATTATCTATTTGTATCAACGGTTTTTCTATTTTACAGAATTCTAAAACAAATGATTTGCAAACTAATTGTCGTAACTTTTATGAATGTAGGATTTTGAAATTAAATCAATTGGTATAACGAAATCCAATTCAAAATAACCTTTTAATTGATAATCTTATCCATTTAAAAACTGTTTGAAAACTTGTTAGAATAAAAATAGCTACACCGGGCTTATTGAAACTAAGTATCTACATACATATAATAATAAATTAATACATATTGATTAATAAGCACAACAAAAATACAAACTAAAAAAATTTTTTAAGTTTGCCTAAAATTATGCAAAACAATTTTTTTTGCAAGTTTCGAAATATTTTTTCATCTAAAAAGCAAATACAACATAACTAGTGTAATATCTTAGTTTATTCAACGTTTTCTTAATCAATATAAATTTAATTTTGACAAAAATAATTTTCTATGATTAAACCAAAATTCATTTATGTAATTGCATTTTTCAAAAGTAGAAAAATAAACTTGATGATAATCCTTTATTGAGAAATTTTATGTTTCCTTGTCCGAAACTTGTACATTGGACGTTAACCCGTATAGAATCAAATGTTTTGATAACCAAAACGTTAAAAATATTTGAATGCCAATTACCAAAAATAAAAAGTACAATTTTCTTTTTCTACCCAAAGTGTAATCGAATTGATTTGTAGATTGTGGGGTACCATATGGATCATAGTTTAGACCACCAGCTGGCGCTGTTTGTGCATTCGCGTCATTCAAAACCTTAGTCCTTAAAGTTCTAAGCTAAAATTGAAATTAAAAATTTACAGTTGAAAAAATACATTGGCTACTAAATCAATTTTTTACATTTTTTGAAAATAAATTTTTATTCTAAGTATTAAACACGCTTTTAAACCAATTAAAAGCGTGCTTGTGTTTTTTCTTTTTATTTTAAGAAAATTATTAAATAATTTCAATATAAGAAAACTTTTACTTACTAAAAAAAAGCCCAGCGACAAACTTGTATAAATAAGAGCAATGTAATATCCAGATCTATAAAAGAGTATGCTAACACTAACACATGCAACCATAATCACAAATTTATAACCAGAAAATGCCACAAGATCTAGCGTTTTTAAATTAGTCGGAATATTAGCAACGTATAAAGTAATGGTGTAAATTATCATTTCAAATATGCTATAAGCTAAAGCACTGGATGCTTGTATTCCTAATTGTTCCGGAGTAAATCTATTTTGCATTCCCAGCATTAGTCCAGCTAATACAACGTAGGTTATGTAAGCCATTGTTGGTATATATAAATCAGGAGCATTTACATCATACCGAGGCTGTACTGGATTTTCCTGATCAAACTTCAAAGACCAATCCTAAAAATAAAAGCAAAATTATAAGATATTTTAAAATGCAATAATAATTTCATAAAAATTTATACCTTATGTGTAAATGGGAAAAATAAGAGCTTAATTTTATTAATAACATATTTATTATCAACAGCAAAATAGTATTTTAATCGTGTTACAGGAATCCACTTCTCAAATTGATTTTCCATTAATTGTTTTCCTTGATCAGCTAGTTTTTGACCGTATTGCATAGCCATGTCTTGAACCACAGGCTGTTGCAACATTGATATGTTTGCAGATAATGCTGAAAAGTCTGGCTGTTGTTGTGGATTTCTTGGCATTTGTTGGTTTAAGTCTTGCGGTGAGTACATGCCGTATCCTGAACGTGGCATATTTTCTTCCATTAATGAAGGCTGCTGTATATAGCCGAAATTCGAATTACCCGGTACACTACTATAAGTATTTGTAATATCCGTTGCCATATTTGTTTCTGTTGGAATAGATTCTAAATTAGCATTTGTTGGAATATATGGGTTATTTGGAATTGGTGCAGATCCTAAAGCGTTTATATCAGCAACACGTTTCACTTTCCGGCTTGGTCCTGGCCCTGGATCTAAAATTAAAGTATTTCACAGGTTAAAAACTTATGTACCAAGTTATAACTAGAAGAACATTTAGGACTCATATATGAATTTTTTTTTTTATTAACATACATACATATTTTCAAAGATTTTAAAGCAAAATTTGGGCAGGTACCTACTGTAGTTTAATTTTAAATTTTGAACTTAGACCAAATATTATTTACCATTTATATTTATATTTTTTTCTATTAAAACTTACTATTGCGAACCCCCGCATTCGCGTTGAAATTCATTTTTCGTCAATAATGCAAATTGTAGATCCAGGTGAACAAATAAAATATTAAATTAATTTTTTTATAAATTCATCAAAGTTTAACAATTTATCAACACACACTATTAATCATTAATCAATTTGAAGTCTATTTTACCAACTCACAAACCAGCAAACCAGAAAAGTTTGACAGCCAACAGGAGTGTCTCATCTGTATTAAAAATCTTTTAATGAAGAAAATCACAAAAGGTGTATTTACACTTTGAGCATAATCTTTCTGTCAAAATACTTTTGTATTTATCTATGGAATAATATTGACTCTTTTTTTAAATTCTATACTACATTTACCAAACAGTATTAATATTTTTTTCTTGAGCATTCCTAACAAATTTTTGACAATTTTCAGATAGAATTTTTGTACAACAAAAAATTTCCTTCAGCTGAGTATTATGCTATTTTAGCTAAAATAGCTTGACAAAATATACTCGTATTTAGGCATTCACTTAGAGGACTATAATTCCTTCAAAAGCCCTCTATTGTTGTTAATTTAACATACACAAAGACAACCGAGTATCGCGAGAGAGTCACAAATATGTAATTCGCCTATACGGCGGATGGAGTGAAATTTCAATCTGAGTATATACTGTACTGATTGAAATAATATTACATACTTGAATTCGAATTGAGTTTGACATTAGCCGACAAGCATTACATATTAATTTGACATTTCCAATTTGTCAATCGACGTATATGCAGTCGAGTTTCAAGTTGCTTGAAAATTTCAAGTGAAGTAGCGTTTATATAAACTCGAAATCCGCTTGAAGTCGACTACTAGCTGCATATAAACACATTAATATACATACCAAAACGACAATTCCTTAACGATAAGGTCCCGCTTCATAACGATACAAATTTGTTCTATTGAGCAAAATTATATTCCCTGCAACTAAATTAGTTTTAAAAAATTATTTCACATTGTTTTATTTTTTTAAACAAAATTCTGGCTTAGAATTTTGTTTTTTAAGTTTTCAGTACCTACATTACATAAGTCTTGCTAGCTACTATGTACATGAAATTCTTATTCCTTATAAAGTCCCAGTGTAGCGTTGTTTTACAAATTATATTAAGCAATAAAAACAAAGTTATGAATTTCTAATTTTTAAAAAAATTACATAGAACAGATTATTCAAAAAATAGTAATTCTTTGTTTATTTATATAATGTTACACATATAAGTACATATAACATAGAATGCATATACAATTGTACAAATTTTATTCTTATTATTATTAAAATATTTGCTACATAAAAAATACAATTTATATTTTAAACTTTGGAATGAGATTAATTGCTATTTTCGAGCACAGGTTCTTCATAGGAATCATTTAAGACTTCGTTATCAATTTGGTTTTGATCTTCAACGCTTCTATACGATTGTATTCTTTCTCTGTAACAATAAACAATACAAATTGCAAAATTAGTAAAATTAAAAGAGTAAAAATAGCTTTTTAACTATTAACATTTTGGTTAATATATTATTAATTACAAGAATTAAACGACTACTAACAAGCATCAATATTTTTTATTTAAATGAAAGACTAGTAGAATGTGTAAATAAAAGTACGATAAATGACTTCGGCGCAGCTTCAGTGTAAATTCAGTGCGTTGCTTCAGTGCGTTGCATAATATTTGTATATAGAAAATATTTGTATACAGAAGCAATTGGTTTTTCATTGTGCACTATGCTAAATCAAAAAATTTATCAATAAAAAGATAATCAATGAATTAAAATAACAATATTATTAGAATTTATCAGGCAGTTATTACAAAAATTGAAATAATATGTTTTCTAAAAGAATTTTCTTTATTAAAAACATTTCTTTAAAATAAACAGATTTTAAAAGCGTATTAGGGTCTACCCTAAATAAAAAATAAAAATGTGGAGTTCTTCGAGGGGTAGTTAATAGTCAAAAACCCATATTCGGGAAAAATTTTAGTCCTCTCAAAATTCTCATACTTCAATAAATGTTTTTGATTAAACAGTCTCCTTACCAGAACCATGAGTGAGAGGGACCCGTCAAAATAGGCTGATTTTGCCAACTCACAACATCAATTTGCTTTGCCATTTACTTTTTAAATATACCGTATTTCTTTGACCCAATTGACAAGTCCGAAACGTTAAGTTGACTGATCAGCTAACAAATTCGCAATGAGGAATTGAGAAATAACAATTCAATTAAACACTGTGCATTGTTATATATACGTTATATTTGCAAATATATTTTTACACATGTACATATTTAATTTATTAACAATGCGTTTATTAGTAATGCTAATGAATATACAAATGCATACATATTTTTATTTTGCTCAATGGCAAATGTTTTTAATTGTTTAATTGACGTTAAAAAAAAACTAATAAAAATCATAAATTGTAAGCTTAGACCTTTATTGCTGATTTCGTCAGTATAAACAAAGCTGACTTTAACACTTTGTTTCAGTGTTTTAAAGCTCAAAATTTTATTGCAGAATTGTAACGGCTTTTGGATTATGACGTTTAAAATATATTCTTAAACTTCAATTCTAATTTTTTTCCACAGACTTTTGTTTTATGCATACATACATATGAGAATACGTAGTTCCTACAACTTGTACGTTTCTATACTTTTAATGGATGCATACCTTGAATGCTTAAAAATCATATATGTAAGTAGGTGCACAATATGTGCGCTATTTTTTTTTAGACTTTTCAATGTCTTGAAAATATTTTATAAACATTTCTGTTCTCTGAGTTCTATATTGTGAAAAGTGCTACTTTTACGAATCAAAAACTTCGTTTTTGCAATTTGAAACCTGTGACATTGCAGAATGTCACAGCTTTCAACTCAATATTGAACTAAATATCTCTTAAAATTTGTAGCAAATTACGTTCATAAGGATTTAAAAAGTATAATGAAATGTAATTATTTCAGTACGTGCGAAATAGTGCATTAAAGTTTTCTATACAACAAAATTTTCTATTTAAACTAATTTTATATTTAAACTACAGCTTTAAAAGGTATTGCCATCATTTAGATATAAGACCAATTTAACGATCAATATGTTTTTTTTTTAAGTTTTAAGCATTGCCTTAAAATATTTAAGTTATAATGAATTTTAGGAGGATTACTTACAAAACAAAAACAAAAGCTTTGTCTTAATTTAAAGGTTAAAAAGCGTAATGGAAATCAAAGTCAGTAAAACTACAGGAAAATCATTTAATAAAAAATTTTGTAATGTGTGACTTTATTAAATTTTAATACTGTAAAAATTTAAAAGCGTAAACTATTTTTTACAACAAAAGTTAGTTGAAGCATCCGTTGAATTATGTCTGTAAAATATAAAAATAAATGTTGAAGTTTACATGAAAAATGTATGAAATACACAATGTTAAGGTACTGCTATGTTATTCAACAAATGAGAAATTCACACTAAGTAAAATATGATCCGAAATTATTAGGTTGAACAAGAAGATATATATTTGTTATACATACGTACATTTAAAAATTTATTAAAATATACAAACCTATAGAAAACATAATGCTGTAAGATGAATAAAATATCAAAACAAACAGAAAACAATCCTAAACCAAATTTTGTAGGATCACCAAAAATGGAAACCCAATCATCTAAAAACACAAATATTTATAAAAAAATTTAAAAATTTTTATTAAAATAAAAGTACCATGATTATATGCATTCAATGTCATTTGAAGCATACTTAAAATACCGCCTGTAAAATCTAATAACACATTTCCTATACTCCAACCGACTGTTGACTTTCTTCTAAAATTCATGATAGCCTAAAATTTTGCAATTATTATAATCAATAATTTTCCAATTTGGTATCACAGCTTAAATTCACCTGCGGTATATATTTTATAAGAGTAATTGCTAATTTAATATAACTGCATATATATAAAAAGTCTAACCAATGTAGAACTTTAGTTCCTGACAATATAGCAGATATTATAAGAGTTAATAAGAAAGCTGCTAATAAACCTTTCGCCACCCATGAAACTCTTTGAGTGCCTCTCTAAAAACAAAATAAAAATATTATTTTAATATTGTACCCACATTGTTGCATAATTTTATTAAATTTATTAATAAATTTCATTAATACCTCGTAAAAAAAACATTGTCCTATAGTAAAAAGAGTTGCAAATGATGCATGTATTGAAAAAAATACATCATTAACTAAAACTGGATTTAATCCTCTAGGATGTCGTTCAAAATATTCAGCTTGAATTTCTGGTATCCAAAATAAACCTATATTGAAAACACTGTATAATATAAATCCAACTATATTCAGGGAAAGAAAATCAAAATTTAGTCCGACCACACTTTTTCTACAATAATTTGTTATTATTTGGGGATAAAATGATATTGACCATGCAACGAAATAGATCCAACCACATACAATTGATATGTAAATAATTGCATTAGAATAACCCACTGTTACTCTGATAAAAATATTTCTACCACTAAAAAATTAATATAGAAGAATATATTATATATATGTATATATGAATTTTATATGTATATATTTTGTAAAACAAAAAGATAACCTACATCCATGTTTCATTAGGAACAGTTGTAGCTGTAACTTCTAAATGACCAGGATTAAGCCCTGTTATACTAAAATTCGCAATATTTTTATCATCATTTGTATGAGATTTATTAATAAAAATTGAATCTGGATCAATTGCTATTAAGTTATCATGCTGTTGTACAAGTTTTACATTAACATTTCGATCTATTATACCACTGTTGAAAATTTAAAATATTTCCATAATTATTAGATAAATATGTATGTATGTATGTATATGTAAGTATGTACATATCCTATATATGTATATAAATTAAAGATAAAATAATAAAATTCATAAAATTAATAATCAAAAAATATTGATTCATTTTTCGATGCCTCACGTTTTCATAAAGCTGCTGCATATACATGAATATTGAATGTATGTATGTAAGTATATTAGAAAGAATTACATTTATACCAATATATTACGAGTAATACCGTAATATTAATTTAGTTTAAGAAAATTAAACAAATAGATTTCACGAATAAATCAAAATACAAGCACTTAGGGACGTCAGTGTCAATTTTTTGATTCTTTCGTACTAATTATTCTTAATAAGTGTTTTTTATGGGGCAAAAATTAAAAAATAACTTATTTAAGTTTTCATAAAAAATAAAATCCACGAGGCTAGTGTTGAAATAACTCGATTAAAATACAATTAATATGTTATTTTTTGACAACGTCAAAGTATATGTAAAATAAGTACGGCTTGTCAAACAATATTCACGAGACTAAGATAACTGAGTTAAAATTTAAAACGGTCTTTGTGCAAGAAACATAAGAATATTGAAAATGAATATTAAATGGAAAAAGAATTTTTTAAAAAGTGTTAAACATAAAATATAATGACATTTCGTTAGTTTAATCACAGGGTGAATCAATTTAAACACAAAAGCAAAATATGTACATAATTAACGTATAAATACTTTTTCTATTATTAAAAAAATTACTTACTCTAATTTCAATATCGTAGATTGAGTTTCATTAACTAAAATGGAAATGTCATGTTGTTCAATATATAAATTGAATGGATGATCTTGAGAATTCACGTGCTTTAAATCTGTTAAAAATCGAAAATTTCGTTTTTTTTTTTTTAAATTTTCAAACTAAAATCGAAAATTAAAATGTTAAACTTACCTGAACTCAAAATTATAATCAAACATATTTTTAAAAAATCGATTCTCTTAAATTTTATAAATTTTGATATTGTATATAACATGACGATTCTTAAATTTCTACATATGTATAGTTTTCTACAAAAAAATAAAAAATAAAAGAAAAATAATAATAAAAACTTTCTTAAAAAAATTTATTGTCATTTGTATTGGCATTTGAAAGATATTTCTATTATGTAATTCTAGTTGTATTTAGAGAACACAGGCATAAGCTAATAACGTTCATTTTATATAAATTGGATAACCTGTTTTAAATTTCTTTAAAATTTGATATATTTTATTAATAGAACTGCATTGAAAACTACATAACCAGTTTAATATAATTTTAAAATTTGTAGTATATTCAATTCTGGGTAAATTAGAAAAAGCAACTTAGTATTATGAACGTTTCCTCGTAAAAGATTTAATTAACACTTACATAATATATAAATAAAAATTTCTATTACATAAAAAAAAGGTCTGCCAGATTGAAAATAAAAATTTACAATTTTTCTATTTTATTGTTCATAAAATAATGAAATAATAGGGGGTGTCCCTACTTCTTTAACGAGATGATAAAATTAATTCATACAGTTATACATATAACAGTAATATAACAGCATAAATATTATAACAGTTTTTATTGATTATTTTATTAATTATTATTCGATCCTACTTTATATAGGCTTTCAGTAATCCATTCTTTATTTAAAATTCTTCTAATTGACTCAATTTTTTTATTTGCTTATATTATTGCTTATTATCGATTGATAAAATTTTATTTATTTTAATTTTATATGTCAATTATATTGGCTCTTTACTCAATAGATGGCACATTTTTAATATGCAATTAATAAATATACTTATCATTTTATTAAATTTTTTTATATTCATGCACAAATACATTCACAAATAATATTTAATAAATAAATTTTTTGGAAAAGTTTAGAAAAGCATTTTGAATTATGTATAACGTTTTCTGTTATACTATTATTTCTTTTAAATTTTTTTATTTAGCAAAAGTATAACTTTTTAACAAACTGTATTCAAATTCATTTATAAACATCTCAATACAACAACACAATTATATTCAAAACAATTTTCTAAATTTCTAAACTAATTTTGTTGATGAGTGCATTGCTTCATTAACAAGAATTTACAAATATTTCCAATTTTTTTTTTTCAAAATTAAACTTTCATTTTTTCAATTAAATTTAATAATGAAATTATTTTAAGAATTTCATAATTACAAAATTTTTTCAAAATAATCACAACGAAGAATGAAGGTTTTGTATATTAAGTATTCGCACTTTGTTCCTTTATAAAAATTCAATAACAATAAATAATGCATAAGGTATACATAAATACATTATGTAGTATAACAACATTAACCTTAAAATTTAGAAACAATGTACTACATATGTATGTAGAATTAATTCTAAAGATTTTTTTGAAGATATTTTTATTTTAAAATTATAATGTAATAAATAACAAGATTATTATAAATTTGTTGAGAATTTATGGGAAAATCCCCCTATACACATTTATACTCGTATATAACAGCTTCTTAAATTTATTAAATTAAAAAAAATGGGGATTTTTTAAATTAAAATAAAACAAACAATTATGCCCAAAATTATAATATTTTTTTGGGGAAATATTTTTATTCCCAAAAAAAAAAAACATTTTTCTAACAAGTTTTAATGTTGAACAGAAGATTTTTCTGATAAGTCTTCATTGCATAGATTTTTTTTTATTATGTACCTATACCTACTATCATCAACAATAACATTTTAAATTCAGCTAAAATAACAGTATAAGTTTCATTGCCTTAAATCAGAAATGTTGTAAGTCCATTATTGTGAGAAAAAATTGTTTTTTTTTTTTCACTCATTAGAATTTAAAATTATTACTACTATTACAAAAACATAATTATAGACTCTGTCAGAGTATAGTTTCTTTTTTGTCATTTCTTTAAATTGATGAATTTAAGTTTAAAAATTTAAAAAAAATTTTTTTTTAAAAAAAAGAACTGCTTTTAGAATTTTAATTTCTAAGTATGTATGAAGGCAAAAATTTAAAAATTATCAAGCTTTTATTTTCAACAATTTTTAGAAATTTTCAAACTGTTAGAAAATTACAAATTTCAAAAAAACTTTAAATCTCGGCTTTAAAAAATTTACAAAATCCGTCTTAGGATAGTAATGATTTAGGGCGGCAATATTAACATGTTACAAAGATTTTAACATCAATAACAAATTTATAGAAAACGTGTTAAATAAATATGAATGAAAGAAACACTCCTTATCTAGAAAACTTTTTTTTTAATTTTCACAAAGTTTTATTTAAATTTCATGTTGATAAAATTGTTAATGCATGTATACATTTGTATGTATGTAGGTATGAAATGACAAATATTGAATTTTTGAATAATTTATGAAAAAAAAAGAAAAAAACCAAATTGTACTTTTTACAAATATTTCTTTCACGTATGTACTCAATTATTTCAAAACATTGCACGATCATTACCCCTTCAAGTATAAGTAGAGTTTTCCACAATATTTTAAAATTCATACACAATTCTTTTTCAAGTTTACATAATCATTAATAAATATACATTTTATGTTTTTTTTTGTTTTTATTTTAATTGCACAATTAAATATCACCTGACAAAATTGAAAGTAATTCCGAAAATAAAACTTGTCTTCATAAATTTTTTTTTTGTTTTCTTTTTTCTTTATTTTTGCATTACAGGTAAGTAGTAAAAAAAAAATATTGATTGAAATTAAATGTATAATTAATTTATGTGTATTAATGTGTAGATTGAGCATAAAAAAAAAAACAAAAAAATGAAAAACAAAAATTAATAATAATCTACTTTACCCAATTTTTTTTTTTGCGAATTTTTCAAAATTCCGATGAAATGTGTAATTATCGCTCTTCTCTTGTTTAATTAATGCAGAATAAAACATTGATTAAAAATTTTTTAATATTTATACTTATGGTTGAAAATTGGCGTTAGTCATTATAATTTCAATGAGTAGTTTTAAGCTTTTTAAATTCAAAAGAATTCCCAAACCAGCTCATCTACCAATAAAATAATTTTAATTAAATAAAAAATTTTTCTCAAAAGATAATTTTATTTTTTTATAACTACATTTTATATGGTATTTATGCGTGTATGTAAAGGGTAGCCATTGTTACACAATTAAAAGAGAGGACAATAAAAATGGACTTGAATTACTTTTTGATTAACTACCTGAATTAAAAATTTTCACTTTACATTAGTTTATAAAGTGTTAAAGTGTCTTTATTTAACAGTGCAAAATAGTCTAGTATCGGAATATTAGAGCATTTGTGAAAATTTTTGACCAATATTGATTGTTATCGGATATTTTTTTCTATACGAAAATATATACATATTTACTTGGCACAATTACCTATAGTGCACCATTTAAATATGTTTAATTTTTTTTTTTTGTAATATGACGTTTTCTTTTTTTGGGATTCCGTAAAACATTTCTGAAAAAAGCTACTAACATTTGCAATTTTTTACTTTACATAGCCAACACTGCAGTTATTTGCAATTTTTCACTTTGCAAAAAATTGCAATGTTGGCTTGTTTAAATTTTACACTAGGTTGTTGTTCATGTAATGGAGTATTTTTTGATTCTATTTTACATCGATTCAGAATTACCTGTAAACCGTCAATATTTTCTTTAATTGAGGTCATTAATTATACAAATTTCTTTTGGAATTTTTGGATTGGCATTATGATTTTCAATTGCATGAAATTGGATATTGAAATATTGTAATGTAATGGTAATTAGTAAATAGCAAATTATTTAAAGTGGATTACGAACAGAAATGAAAACAAAAAACAAGTACAGATGGTCACCCTAGTGTATGTACATTTAGCGATAAGAAAACGAGTTCCATTTGCTAATATTAAAATACTGTAACACTTGTTTAAATATAGACCACAATCAATTAATATCGTCTGTAAGAATAAAAAAAACAGAAAACAAAAAACAGAAATAAAAATATGTTATTGATAATGGTCATTAACTTTTTTCATTATTGTTTATGTTGATTTTTTTTTTCTTCTTTGGAAATTTGACGTAAACAATAGCACTTTCAATTCTTCTTAAAAAGAGTATAGTTATGATTATAATCAAAATAATTCCAATTAAAAGACCTATCAAAAATTTTATAATAATTATTGAACGGACATTGTGTTAAGAAAGAATTATAATGTAGTCTAGAACTAATTTAAACATAATTTAAATAATTAATTTTTGCAATTTTAAAGTTGAAAATAAAATATTTTAATAAAATTTTTGCTGACGTTTAGTTTACGATTATCGAAAAACGATTATCTAAAATATGAAAAAAAAACAATGCCTAATTAATTAGGATTATTTATTAATATTATAATTTTTGAAAATTAAAAAATTCTTTACAAATATCAATAAAATAATGTCAATTAAATCTTACTGATTAATAAAAAATTGATTATATTTAATAATATAGGTATTACAACATGTACTCATACTTTAATAAATGTTGTGGTATTTAAATTGTTACAATTATTTATGACGTACAATTAATATTTAAACTGTTATGACTATGCTTATTATTTTTTCATTTTTCTTTTTAATTACTCAATTATTAATCTTTATGAGACTTTAATCTCTCTTTGTCACATTAATATTATATTATGAAAACTGATAACATTTATCAAAACAAAAAAAAAAATAATAAAAATTTTAAGATAAGAGAAACAAGAGAAAAGAGACAAAATTATTTTGCGCTATCAGGAAGGAAGTTGACCTTTGTGTTTGGGTGATTGTTCACAGGTAAGTGTAAACAATGCCAAATATTACGCCAACAGAACAATGTTCCGGTTTTTTTTCTCATTTTTGCATTTTTTTTTTTTTTTTTTTTGCAAAAATATAAAAAAAATGATAAATTGCGAGCTTTTCAATATCACAATCACAAAATTATAGCAATTGTTCCTTGTTTTAAATTTTTTTTAGTACAGAATTCGAATGTAGTTATTGTCTGTTATTCAGTATTGTTAAAGATTCGTAGCTTGTTCTATTTTTAAATTTAAAAAAGAAAAAAAAAGTCAATATTTATTATAAGTGAACAATAAAATAACTGTAGTAGGTTGAGTGGAAAAAGTAAATTAATTTTTAAATTTTATCGATACAATTTAATATACATATATATAAATATGAGTATGCGTATGTGTTGGTTTTAATTTATTTAAGTTTGAGATTTCAATCAAGCTTGAATATTTGATTTTGCTATTATAATTATTATTTGCAATAAATTCTATATGTAACAATTCATAAAAAATTTTTAACTCACAAACCAAATAAAAATGTGAAAAAAGAACAAAACAAAACAAACAAAAAAAAAAACATTATCACACTGCAACATTTTATTTAATGTTATAACAGCAATTGTATATAACAGGTAATTTAAAATTTAACCGTCAAGATTATTGTTATACAGTCATAGAGATAGTGTAACAATTAAAATTTTATAAGCTTTTATTGTTATGCCTTAAATAACATTAACAAATAAAATTGCTCTTATCTTTTACTATTTTTATACTCTATGATAAAATTAACTTACAAAACAATTAATTTTCTGTTTTTTTTTTTTTCTTTAATTTATTTATTTATTTACTAAATGAGAGTTAATCGTTACATACGATTCAAATGTTAAAAGACAACTAACATTCCGAAATCAGACTGAATGAATTTTATAATAAATAAACTTGAATTTTTTTTTATTTGAAGAAAATTAATAAAGGTAAAAAATGGTTGATTTAAATTTAGTGTTTTTTTTTTAACATCTGGTTGATATTGATACACACATTCACTAATGTTATGCATATATTATAATATTATTGTATATATATATATATGAAAATTATAATTTTTTTTATTAATTTGTGTTGCATTTATCTTTTTTTTTTTGTTTAAACTTTTAAGTATATTAGTATTGATAGCATAATTACAGTTATTTTTATTGTTATTAAGAATAAATGTATATAATATATATATATATATTTGTATATATGGAAATACATAAATTTCGTAAAAATTTTTTTTTTTGAAAATTATAATATTTTATAATTAAAAATCACTGTTTAAGTGTGTACGTATGTACATACAAAATTATATACATATTTGAATTTTGTAGGAAATTTTGTTTTTATATCAAATCTTAATCAGTATAGATTTAAAATATAATTAATCTAAATAGATATCTTAATTCATTAGCGAATCAAAAAAAAATTTTAATATAGAAGACTTTTTAATATAGATTGGTACTTTCGGCTTCTACTCGTATTTATAAAACATTCCTTTGAATTTTTTAAGTAAGGCTATTAAATTAAATTCAACAGCACAACGGAACACATCTTAAAAATAAGAACATTTAAAAATTCTTGCAATGTCTATATTAAAACAATTTCCAATATTGGTGTGCGTAGTGCGGTATTTTTTCTGAAAAATATTGTATACACTGCAAAATATTTTAAAACTTAAGGTATATACGAAAAACACTAAAATAAGACTGTATCCAATTAACAAGAGAAATTTCAAAGAAATTTTTTAATAATAAGTAACGTGATCAATAATTTTTCCGAGTTTTGAAATACAAATTATACCGAGTTCACCAATTATTTGCAATATGAACGCATTTGCGGCATTTCCTATTTTGCGACATTTTCTTTCTGACGCTACGGAGCGCAATTTATTAAATTTTCTTATTAAGATAATTATTTAGAATTAGTAACATACATATATTATAAATTATTGTTAAAATGAAAACTTTTTAACCAATAGACGTAAGGGATCATTAAATTTCTTATAAGTCAATAACATTCAGTGAAAACTATTAAATTTCATGTTTGGTTTGTAAAATATGTTCATATGTACTCAGTATTTTAATTAGTTAAGTAACTTTATTAATAAATTAGGACTTATTTTATGAGTAAGTGCTAAAAAAATTATAAATTGTAGTCATTTATCCAAAATGGTACCAAATTGGCAACTATGCAATTTCAAGCAAATATTAATTTGCTTTTTTTTCAAATACCCTTTTATAAAAATTGTTCTAACGAAATAATGGTATAGTTGTAGCTTGTTAAGCACTTGAACAAAAGTTGTGCTAGTAGGGTACCATTTAATGAAACGATATAATTTATTGAATTTTCTTTTAATTAGGTATTCATACTAAAATGTACTGAGACATATATGATGTATCCTATTGTACATTAGCTATGTACAAATTTATTTTGGAAAAAATTAAAATAAAACGTAAATAAATACAATTTGCATGTATATATAATTATTTTATATCAATAAGTGCTTGCGTATATTATCTTATCAATACACATAAGTAATAAATCTCATATAAATTGTAAAAAAAATTAGTTTAAGTACTTTTTGTTTAAAATAAAGATTGTTAAATTTTGGCCTCGTGTCCACTGGTCAATAAGTATATCGTTTTCCGTATTCGAAATACTTGCATACATATGTACATATATACGTAGTTCTTTTGACAAAATTAATTTTCATTAAATTTATTATAAACATAAAAATATGTAATTAAGTATTTGATACATTAAATTTAAGGAATGAAATACAGAAAATTTTAATTGAAATGGAAAATAATCAATTAAAAAATCTTCATAACAAATTATTAAACAATCAAACTCAATTCATCATTATCTAAATAATTATTTTCAATTTAAAAAACGCGGTCAACATCTGTACAATAACAAATATTTTTAAATTAGTATATGTACTGATATAATAATTTAAAGGAAATAATTTATACTGCCGGTATTTTAACTGGAGCAAATAAATAATAATCTGGTTCTAATATAAAATAGCATTGTTTTATTAATTGATACAGAATATATAATTAAGTAGTGATTCACAAAACAAAATTTGCAATTAAGAGTTTCTTATCATTAAATAACACTTTAGGGTGGGTTTTGCCCATTGTTCTTTTTATATTATTTAAAAATTTTATTGTTTTGATTTAATATCTATACGATATTGTGTACATAATATGTATACACATATTATTTATTAATATGTAATGATGATAATATAAAATATTTTACATATCATTAAAATTTCAATACTTGCATCTCTCTTTAATTATGATAACCATATTCGGTTCGTACAATAATAGGGAAGGAACAGGATTAGGAAGATAACTACTCATATGTATCAATTGCTCATATGAGCAATTATACGCATATGAGCCCATTAATTGCGCATATGAGCCCGTTCAGAATTTTAGAATAAATATCAATTGAATCAAACCTATAAGGAACTAAAATTTTAGGTCAAATAGAACTTTTAAAAAATTTTTATCAATTTATTTTTGAAAAGGATTCGATTTAAACTTCTTTAGTTATTTATAGATTTTTCGTGTTCTAGAAGGACTAATCATTTATCTTACAGTCGTATGCAAAAATTACATTTAACTGTAAATGAAAGTCAAAAAAAATTACAAAAATTAAAAATCAAAAGATTTTAAAGAGAATTTGTCGAAGAGACTCTTATGATTTTAGGAAATTATTGTAAGGCTCTAACAAATATTCCAATATTTATGTGAAAGAAGCGAATGAAGTACAATAATTAAAGTACTGTTCAAAGGTTAAATCTTTGTATTTATTAAGTCAACATATCGAATAATTTACTCTTAGGGTTTTTTGATGAATGCTAATATCGTATATTCATATATAAAAAAGTACACATTTGTACAAATATATTATATAAATAAGTATGTACAAAATTCAATAAAAGAAAAAATTGATTTTTCTAAAAATGATATTTTTGCAAATCGGCTGTTTTTTGTTCCAGCCACAAATTTATTTCACTTTTACAAGAAGATAAATCAGAAAAAAGAACAGAAATCACAAAAAAAAAATCAGAAAAACAATCTCACTTGTTGCTCGAAAATTTAAGCAAAATGCAAAATTCAATAATCGGAACCTTTTGTATTAAATATGAATATGCGATTCCAAAAAACAATAAACGAATACAAAATCCAAGATACAAAATTGATTTAACATATTTATGCCTACATATATATATTGTTAACCGCCTGTGTAAATATGTATATATGTATATATGATAAAATAGTTAATATTTTAAGAAAAATTTACTTACGGTATGCTTCAAGATAGTCATAAACTCAACTTTAATTTAGATAAAATAAAAACAGATTTTTTTCATACCTTCAATACTTTCTACCTTATCTTAAAAGATAAATTGATAAGAACAGCAAAAATTAATTTCTTAAACTTTAAATAAACTTTAATTAAATCAAGTTAAAAATAAATTTATTTTATCACAACTTTTCGATATCATTTATTAAAATTATTTCAAGAAATTTACAAAATATTTTCAAAACACTTTGCAGTGTTTGCAATATTCAAAATTTTTTAAATGAATCCCAAATTCACATAAAAACACAACTTCATTTTTTAATAAAATAATATTTAATATTTTTCACAAAACTGCAATTCAAAAATTTCTATTTTTTATGATTACACTTGATTAAATTAATTCGTAAACAAAACAACTGAAATATATACTTTGTTTACTATGACTATGAATGAATATTTGTCATGTTTTGCGCTTTATGACTTTTATAAGATATGTCATATATATTATTTTGAGTGGTTAAGGTGCAACTATACGCTTACGTTACGATAATTTAAAATTGAAGTTAAGTTTTAAATATACTCAGTGCGTTAAATTTAAAAAATATTTAAATTATCCTAATTACTGAACAATAAGAAAATAATAAGTACTTGCCAATTAGAATTATATATTGTGAATTAGAAATATAATTTTTGTGACTCTGTATTTTATTCCTACAATTTACACAAAATGACATTAGTTATTTTATCGATGGAAGATGAGAGAAAATGGAAAGTAATTTTGAAAGTATATGCGTATAAGTCTGTTTATTTATTGTTGATACTTCGTGCATTAAAAAATAAGTGAAATGTAATTTAAAGCTGATTTATATTAAAATTTATTTTTGTGGTTTGTTTTTGGTATTATTATGGTTTGCTTATTTGTTTCAAAATTCTAATGGAATTTGATCTAAGTGTCAAGTCAATATTTTTTTTTCCGTTCCAATTAATATTGTGTAAATGATGTGTTTGTTTTTTAATTTGTATAATAATTGTCACTTCTATATCAATTTCATTTGAAGTTCGAAAATTGTTCTATTGCTTTTTAATAAACTGTTATATTAATTTAAAATATCAATAAAGTAAAATTTAACTTATAAAATATAACTTGTACATTATTTAGTTGCTAATTTATTTTCGTAATTCTCTACTAACAAAAGCAGCATAACAGTTAATGAAATTATCTTTCTATTGTGAATAAACATAATTATTCTGAACAATCAGCTGTCACTATTGTCAAAAACTTACATGCGTTGAATTTTTACATTATGTACAATTTAAGTTATATACATAGTGAATGTCATATACTCCACATACAAGTTTTGTTGTCGCCAAAAGAGTAAATTTTAAAGCATTTAATTAAATTTCTTTATTTTTGATTAAACGCAGCAAAAGGCGAATTTTGAAGTATACTCCTTGTTTTCGAAGATTTCACAATGAAATTTTAATTATTTTGAATAATTGAGGTAAATATATAATTTTGAAATTTCTAGTCTGAAAACTAGAACATAAGAAAGACTGTGAATTCACAAAATATCAAAAATTGAATAAACATATATGTACATAGAGTATATTTTGATGCATAGGTACAGATGCAGATGTATTAAATATGTATATGTATGTACATATACATTTGATTCATGGTACATGATGTAATTTTAAGAAATTGTTTCAATTATCGGTGAATATTTCACTTGATAAGCAATCAGATTACATATTAATATGCATTTATAATAAGAAAGTTTTTTTAATTAATGTGTACATTAGTATGTAAGCATGTCGTTTTCAAGTTGAACGGTATTAATAACATGTTTTAATATTTTGAGAAGTCACTTTCACAATTTAAAGTAGACTAGATTAATATGATGTGAGTGCCAATATATGAATGTGTCTACTAACTGGCTTTTTGTTTTAGAAAACAAAAATGCTGGATATTGTTATTATCGGAGCTGGAGCGTCTGGAATTGCAGCGGCAACAAAACTTGTAGAAAATGGTATTGATGTGAAAATATTGGAAGCTGAAGATCGAATCGGTGGCCGAATTAATACCATTCCTTTTGGAAAAGGTGTAGTTGATTTGGGGGCACAATGGTGTCATGGGGAAAAAAATAACGTTGTTTATGAAATTTGTTCTAAATATCCAAATATATTTGGTAGTACAGGAGATGTATATGCATCATTTATTTTAATAAGATCAAATAAGGAAATAATTCCCAAAGACATCACATCAAGATTAACCGCTTTAGTTTCGGATATATTAGAAGCAGCAAAATATGATCTAAATGATTCAACAGATTCGTTTGGTGCTTATTTGAATCATGAATTTAATAAACATTTAAACAAACCAGAATATTCAGATATTAGTAAAAAGGTAGCGCACGAATTCTTTGAATTTTACAAAAAGTTTGAGTGCTCTGTTGATGCTGCAGATTATTTAGAAGATATATCAGGTAAGGGATATAACGACTACTGGGAGTGTAAAGGTGATCCAGTTTTAAATTGGAAAGACAAAGGATATGTATCTTTTTTGCAAATTTTAATGAAATCGAAAAAGGAGAAAAAATTAGGAACTTTAACTGGCAAAATATTATTTAAAAAAAAAGTTCAAAATATTTGTTGGTCAAGAAATAAAGGCGAGAAAATCAAAATCGTTTGTTCGGATTCTGAAGAAATATTGGCAGATCATGTTATTTGCACTGTTTCATTAGGGGTTTTAAAACGAGAAAATGAAATTTTTCAACCAAAACTACCGAAAGAAAAATTAAACGCTATTGAAGGTCTTGGATTCGGAACCGTAAACAAAATTTATTTAGAATTCCCAAAGAGTTTTTGGCCTTTGAATTGGCCAGGTTTTTCAATCCTTTGGGATGTCGATGAACTTGAAAATATTAGGAAAAGAAATGATTCATGGATTGAAGATTTGTTTGGATTTTATACAGACTATCAAGAAAACGTTCTTTGCGGATGGATTTCCGGAGAGAAGGCTCGAAGTATGGAAAACTATTCCGACAAAGAGATTGAAGAAAGTTGCATGTTTCTTTTAAAAAAATTTTTAAGTTGGGAAATTCCAGAAATCGTTTCCATTAAAAGATCTAATTGGTTCAGTAACTCAAATTTCCGCGGATCATATTCCTTTCGGTCAGTAGCTGCAGAAAGATTAGAAGCATGTCCAAGAGATTTGGCAAAACCGATACTTAGTGAAGATGGAGTGCCAATATTATTATTTGCTGGCGAAGCAACGCATGATCATTATTTTTCGACTGTACATGGAGCAGTAGAAAGTGGTTGGAGGGAAGCAAGCAGATTAATAAAACATTTTTCTGAAGATAACTTTTCTGATGTACTTATTCTTGGTTGTGGGTTAGCCGGACTTGGAGCTGCATACGCTCTTCAAAATTTTAATTTAAAAGTTCGTATATTGGAAGCTCAAAATTATATCGGTGGAAGAATATTAACTACAAATTTAAAAACTTTAAATAATAAAGCTACCAGTGAAAGAATAGATGTAGGAGCACAATGGTTACATGACGAGCAAAATTTGTTATTCAATATAGGGAAAAAATATAATTTAATTGAACCGGAAAAATCTGGTGAAGGTTTAGGAGATTTTTTTGAAGAGAACGGAAATGTAATTGATAAAGCGTTTGTTGAAAAAATTAATACGGTTGTAAAAGAAATACTAGAAGAATGCGAAAAATTTGCAAATGCTACAGAATATCCCAAATCGATTGAAGATTATCTTCACGAAAACTTTTTTAAAATGTTGGACAATGAAATTAAAAATGACACAGAAAAATCTGAACAGGCTCGGAAACTTTTAAATTGGCATCGAAATTTTCAAATCATAGATAATAGCTCAAATGATTTGAAGACAGTATCCGCCAAAGCATGGGGTTTATATTCTTTAAGCGGTGAAGGATGTCAAATTCACATTAACATCAAACATGGATTTTCTACTTTAGTGAAGGCACTTTTACAAGAAATAAGACCATTCTTAAATATTCAATTGAACAAAATTGTAAAAAAAGTTATTTGGAAATATAAGTATAACAATGAAGACTTAATAAGAGTAGAAACTTCAGAAAATGAGGTCTTTTATGCTAAAAATGTTATTATAACTTTTTCAATTGGTGTTTTGAAAGAAGAATTGAAATTGTTTGAGCCAGAGTTGCCTTCGGATTATCGTAATGCAATTAATAATATAGGTTTTGAAACTATGAATAAAATATATATCCAATTTGCGGAAAATTGGTGGGGTGAACGGAAAGGAATTCAATTTATTTGGAATGATATAAATATTGGTAATACTACAAAACTTCACTGGACAAAATATATAACAGGATTTGATGTTCTTTATCCTGGCCCCAAAAATACTCTAGTAGGTTGGATCGGGAGTTATGGCGCTAAAGAAATGGAAAGTTTAAAAGACGAAGAAATTATCACAACATGTGTGAAGATTTTAGAACATTTTACCAAAAAAAAGGTACCCCAACCAATTAGTTATTATTGTACTCGTTGGGGTACTAATCCTTTCGTAAAAGGAGGCTATAGTTTTATAAGTACTAAATACGACGAAAATGAGAAGAGTAGAGAATGTTTAAAAAATCCAATAAATATTGGAAATTCTTGCACTGTAGTTTTTGCTGGCGAAGCATGTCATAGTAATTATTATTCAACAGCACATGGAGCATTTCTTTCCGGTATTAAACAAGCGAAACTTATAAATACATGTTGCTGTAGAAGAAATAGTTTTTAGTTTTATTATGATCAATATAAATTAAGCATAGAAATAATTGGGATCAGGCACAAAGTATATTTTGATTAGGAAAAATAAAAAATATAGTTTTATTGAAAAATATACACGTACATATTAGTTACATATTATTATTATATGAAATTGTTATTTCAATTCATTTTTCTTTACCTTTTCTGTCATTAAACACAAATTGTTATTAATTAATAAATTGTAATATCTTATAATTCAGTAGTAATGGCTATCTAAATATTTCAATTATTGAAATTAAATAAATAGTACGATTGTTTTTTTGTTAACAATTTTGATTTTTTTTTTTATTGTAAAATTGTGGTTTTAGAAATATTAAAATAAAATTGTTTTCATGTATTTTTTGATTAAAGCACAAAAATTTTACAATTAAAAAGTGTTGTCATTATTTTAAAATAAAATTTTGTATTTTCTTTTTTTTATAATAATATTTACATATATGGTTAATTTTAATGTTCATTCCAAAAGTGTAAAAAGCTGTTTTTAACTTAAAAAAATAGGGCTAAAAATTTAGTGAACCAAAAATGTGCAAAAAATTTCAGTGTGTATTTACAGTATACAGTAGTTGCTGCTATTTTGCTATAATAAATATCATTCGAGTATTTGTGTACATAAATACATTCATCAATGTATGTATGTTATTATAAATTATAACATAAACTGTTCCAATATTTATAATTCTTGTTGGAGAAATATTTTTTAAGTAAATAACAATGCATCTGGCATCACATCATAACAGAACAGGTTAAAGCACATTTTGCTTACAAGTAATTTTTTTTTTTTTGTTAAATTTCCATCATGTGTTTTGCTTCTACATATGTATATATGTATGTATGTACATATTTGCTAAAACATACACAATTTAATTTAATGAGTGAGGAATATTAGTACAAGCTCTGAGAATTGCATTGATGATTAAATAAACAAAAGAAAAAGAAATTTTTGAGTATCTACATACTTATGTACATACATTTGCCAAAAAAATTTATTATTTACTCAGCAAAAAATTTTATATTTTACATCTTGACATTCTCTTACTAAAATTAAAGGTTAAGCTAATTTTATAAATTCTTTATGACGTACATATATAAATTTATATTGTAGATAATAATAATATTAATATAATATACAAATTATATACATGTGTAAAAATATACATACATTTAAAAAAAATAGCTTTACTACATTATTTAAATTTTTTTATAAAAAAAAATTCTCATTTTACTTGTATATTTTGTTTAAATTTCTTTCTCATTTTTAAAGCTATCTTTATGAAAATCGGAAAATATTGATTTACTTTCGAATGAACGAAAAAATTATTTAGTGAAACAAACAAAAAAAAAACTTTTTATACATTTATTTTAACGCCACTAGCTAGCAGAATAATATTTAAAATGAGAATAAGCAAATCCTTGAGAATGAATAAAAGAAAATAAAATTTATATTTTCAGTTTAGTATCAGAAACAACAATCAGCTGGAGAGCGGGCGGCATTCTACTATTTATTAAAAAAAAAAAAATGAATATAAAGAAAAACGTATAACAAACAATTCATTCAATTTAAGATCAACAAAATACAATGAAAGCGAAATCAAAAATTATTACCAAAATATATTTTTTATATACGGTTGTTGTTAATAAATCTAAATTAAATTATAAAATATGAAATTGGTTATTCAAATATAGTTCAAATGAGACTCTTACAAAAAATTCAACAAAATTTAGTTGATTGTTCATCAATATTAAAAACAATTTTATAAAAATCACAAATTCAAATTAAAGACAATTACGGTAATTTTTTTTGAAATTAATTTAATTAAATATTATTTGTGTGAAAAGAAGAAAAAAAAACATTTTGTGTTATAAAGTATTTGAAGCAGAAACCAAAATATATACATCTGTACATTCATATATACATATTTCTTAATAAAAAATAGACTTTATTCAAAAACTTAATAACTAAAAACTCATTCATCGGGGAATCTACATTAAATAAATATTTTTTTTTTTTTCATTAAAATTTAAATCTCAGAGAAAATAATTTAAATAAAAAGACGCATTTAATTATTATTAAAGAAAAATATAACTAAAAAATAAGATAATAAAAAATTGAGATCATGGATTTACGAAAATTATTTTATGATGATTCGGATTCCGATTCGGAACATTCAGTTGCAGATAATTTAAAAGGTATTGGAAATTTAGAGATTAATAATAATGGTAATGACGAAAATATAACATGTTGGATATTTGGATATGGTTCATTATGCTGGAATCCTGGTTTTACATATACAAAATGTGTAACTGGTTATATACGTGGTTTTGTAAGACGATTTTGGCAAGGAAGCATTTCACATCGGGGAACTCCGGATAAGGTAAAAGAAAAATGATTATTTCATAGGTCAATTCATTTATTTACGTTATTAAAATGGTGTTGGGAATTTTTTTATTAATTCAGACATGCACTGAAAATTCTAAATTAAATTTTAAAAGTCTTTTCAGACATACTTACTTACAAATCTGCAGAAACAGAATACTTTATTTTTGCAGATTTGTTGTACCTATCATACACGAGTAATTCTTCAATATCTAACAATTTCCTTTTATGCTGTCCTTATAAATCATAATATTTTTGTAGTAGTTTTAAAAAAAATTGTAAATTTAGCATATAGCTTTAAACACGGCTGTTATTTTCGATCAATTTTGCAATTTTGGATTTCTCAAAATTATTTTATATTAAGACTTAAATTAGAACTAAATTATCGAAAATCCTTGTTGTTTTAAAATATAAAATAAATATTATGTACCATTAATGAATGATGATGCATTCAGAAAATAAATTTTCAAAATGAAAATTAAATAATTTCCAAAAAAAAAAAAAATTCGAAAAAAAATTTTTTTTACCGCTGATTAGTAAAAAAGAACGTCGCAAAAAAAACTTTAAAATAAATAATTTATAGGTACATAGGTAGGTAGATACTGCATATATGTATACATATATACACACATCATAAACACATATTACTTTATAGGTATACCTACATACAATTTATTTGTTTTTTTTTGTATATAAAATATTTTAAAATTTTTATTGCTAGAATATTTATTTATTTTGTATAGAAATACGAGTTTGATTGAAAAATGAATTTGATTATTTTAATTTATACTGGTGAAATGTAATTTTACTTTATTAAAAAAAGCTTTGTGTAACATGTAATAATTAATCCTCATTAATTTTATTTTTTATTATTTTGAATATTAAAATATTTTTGTTTTTTGTTACTTTTCTTGTAAGATCTTATAAATGTGATATAAGATCGAATATAAAAAATTTAAGAGACCTTAATAAAAAAAAAATTATTTTTTGTCACTCATGATCTACGTGTTGTTTCATATACACATATATGTATGTACATACATATGATATAATGTATAATATATAAGTACCTATTTATTTTAATATTTATGGGATATACTTACGTATTTACGTGATTAAACATTACTATGCATATGAATATGTACATACTTATAAAATTTATTTTTCAATATTAAATATAATTTTTAAATTTTTTAGTAGATATTTTCATAAACGCAATATTGCAAAACATAACATGTTGAATATGCAATATATTTTTATAAATACTTACATAAATATGTTCATGCATAAAAAATGCTATATACATATATATAAAAAAATAAAAAGTATCTAAGTAGGATCTAATTTTTAAAATTCTATGAATGTCAAATTATTTAATTTTCATTAAAATTCAAACCTGCCTGCCATGCTCTATTTTATTTCTATAATACACTACCTTCTTTTGTATACTTATTTTAAATATAAATACGCATATGTATACATATCACCCATATCATGTTAGTCGCATCATTGGACGTGATGAGTTGTTAATAGAAGATCGTGTAATTTTCCAAATAAAATCAATTTTGGAATTTGAACTCCATCACCTTAAGTTATATGGAAGACAGCTAACAAAATATGGGTGATATGTTTGAATATACTAAATACAATTTTGTTTTTTTTTTTATTTTTAGCCGGGACGAGTTGCTACATTGTGTGCTGAAAAAGAGGTATTTTGTGCTAATCAATACAATATACACATAAAACATTTATGTATCCATATAAAAAAAAATTGCGAAAGTCTCCCAGAATAAGCCCCATTTGGTTATTCCAAATTTTGTTTGGAACTTGTTTCATATCTAATAAATTTTTTGGCCAATTTCAAAAATCATTACATTTTAATGAGAAACTCGGATAAATCCTCACTCTCAATTGTAACTATTTTGAAATGAGAAGACCTTAAATCTCCCAACTTTCTAAAGATACACACAAAATGTGTAATTTGCGAGGCCCAGGGACTTTCCCCAGGGTATTTAATTATGAATTACCTAAGAATTCGTTTGTAACCCCGAGAAACAACTTGAAAGGCTTTCAGCATTAATAAAATACACCAAGAATTTTTTCACTTATATACACACAAAATGTTTTATTTTGTATATGTGATTTATAAATTTAAATGAAAAATTTTGATTACTAATTTTATATATGAAATGTTTGTAGGGAATAACATGGGGATGCGCTTATAAAATAACTGGCAGGACAGCATTAGAGTATTTAAAGCAACGTGAATGTACAATAGGTAAGATTAATTAAAATAATTTTTTTAGGAAAAATATTATCCTACATACATATATATCTATGTACATAGTTTTTTAATGTTACTGTTAGTTTTAAATTAGACAAATTATTGAATTCTTTTATGTATGTTAATGCTTATGAAGGTATTTTTTGAAAGATTTAATTTTTAAAAATGTATGAACAATAAAATTCAATTTTTAGTAATATAATACTTAAATATGTACATATGTATATATTAATTCATATAAAATTGGACTTTGTTTCTTTATTTATAAACAAAGACGCTATAAAATTGCTATTTTGTTTATACATATGTACTTAATTTAAATTAAAAATCTTTTTAATTTTATTAAATTTTTTCTTCTCTTTTGTTTGCGAGCTTCCTATATTTATTATTTTATTTTCAACTATAACGTCATTAATGCTCATTTTATTTTATATTTGAATTTTCAGGCGGATATGTAACGTTAGATTCAAAATTTTTTCCTAGAGTGGCTACTTGTGATACAGAATTTCGTGGTGAAGCTTTTCCAGTATTAGTCTATATTGCAACCGATCAAAATTCTTTATGGGTAGGAGACTTACCTATACAAAGTATAGCAGAACAAATAAGTGAATCTTCAGGAGCTAGTGGACACAATGTAGAATATGTTATACGATTAGCAGATTTTATGCGAGAAGAAATTCCAAATGAAACGGATGATCATTTATTTGATTTAGAACATAGAATTATACAAATTTTAATAAAAAGAAACACTCCAATACATTCTCTAATGGGTATTCCGCCAGAGAGAATAAGAAGAGATTCTCATGCTAATATAGAACGTCCAACTACATTTGAATTTGCTTCAAGAGTACCTGATAAAAAATTGCGCTGTCTCAATGTATAGCAAATTTTTATAACATTTTTTCTAAATTCAGTAATTATAATTTGAAATTAGTTCGCCATAATGGAACGAATTAAATTATTAAAATTTTTACTACAAATTTTCCTATTACAAAGTTTTCGCGTAATTAAATTGTAAATCTCATAATTATATATGAAATTAGCTTATAATATTAAACTGTAATAAAATTTCGCAGCTTAATTCAAATTAAATCGCATATATAATAATTTTTAAATGTTTTTTTTTTGTTAGCAAAAATTTTGTTTTATTTATTTATAACTGATAATGAAAGATACATTAAATATTTCTTAATTTTAAGGGTTTTAATTAGTTAGTAAGAATCTCGCCCGCTCTTTGTTCCATTAATTGTTCCATAGATGTGATTGATTGCATCCAAACATCTAAAGATTTAGCCATGTCGGAAACCTGATTTCTATCTAACACTCTGGGTTGAACCTAGTTTTTAATGTGAGAAAAAAAAACAGATTAAAAAATACATAAGAAATGTTAGAAACGTACCCAAGTCATATTCACAACTCCGGAAACCTGATCAATTTCTCCACGAACTAACCCTTGTGCTAATGCTTTCATAATTAATAATTCTACTTCTTTTAGAGGTAGTTGTGTTTCCTTAGCAATATCTTCAAAAGAGATCGAACGGTTATTTGCTGACCTTTTAAATGTCATTTCCATTAAGCACAATAATGAAATTTTTTGTCTAAGTTTGATTTCTTGAGTTAAAAGATCTGGTATTTTACTCCAAATTGGTTTCATTTTCATAAATCTATAAAATTTAAAACATTTTGAAAAATGTAAGTATGCAGTATATCATAAAAGTTGTGAGAAATTACTGTGCTATGTTTCCTGAATTAAATGCTCTTAACAAGTCAATTAGCCATTCGTTTTGAGAGCCTTTTAATGAGTCTAATATTGGGTGGGCTAATAGTTCACCGATGTTGTATATACCATCTCCTAAAAGAGCAGCTAAACCCAAAAAGAAAGCTTGCTGAGACCACTGATCTTTCGGAAATGTTTCTAGTGAACATCCTAAAAATTGAAGTCCGCATCTGTAATAATCGCTATGTTGTCCAACACGTTTGTAATATTGGGATGCTAACATGTAATATTTTCCATGAACTGGAGTGACATTTCCGGCTTCTTCCAAAACTTCTCGGAGTTCTTCAATAATTTTTTTTGCTGATTCCAGATCATTTAGATTTGTCAAATAAATGTTTCCTTGAAGTACCTTAATAAACCATAATGCTTCGTCACATATTTTTACTTTTTCTTTAAGTTTCTCCAAAAACTTTATTGCCTCTTCTTTATCTGTTATATGTTCAACAACAACTTCCAAAATCTCAACTAAACCATAAGGATTTATCCTATGAAAAATTTTGTTTTTCAAATACTGTTGAAAAATTAGGTTAAAATTGTGTATTTCTTACTTTGTTTCGAAGGACGACACAAAATTGTGATACAATTGCAGAAGATTATCTTCATCTTGAGTTTTTTCATTTCGGACAAATTTAATTAATTTTAAAGTTAGTTCATTCCAAAGCCTAAAATAATATTTTTAGTAAAAGAAAACTAATTTTTGTTTATTTTTACTTTTCATTGTAAAGGTTTTCAATTGTTGTCCACTCTGCTGCCAATTCTTTGTCACTGGTCTTTTTTTGGGAATTTAAATAGTTTACAACGTTCGTTGTAGTTGCCATTACAAATTTTATTTAAAATAATAATGAATTTTTCGGTAGAGTACAAAAATTTTAAAATTCAAGCCTTTGATGATACACCAATTTTTAGGTTAAGTTAAAATGTCAAAATATACCAATAAACTATAAACGTTTATAAATATGTACATATCAGAATTTTAAGAAATTAAAGTGTATTCAAAATTTAAACAAGCGTAACGTTTACGATACGAAGTCCAAAAATATAATTCTGGAATAATTTTGATCGAACAAATCCTTTTCTTTAAATGTTAAAGCATACAAACAAATACAAATATGTATAAAGTACAGATATATATGCCGTATTTCATACTTCATACTCTTTTTTTCTCACCCAATTTTTTTTCTCTTGATTGAACGTTTACACATTAAATACTCATACAATTTCTTTTCAATCAAACAAACTAAGTTGCCTTTGCAAAGATATTTTACAAAATTAGGTAGTTAAATGCCTTCGTCATTATCAGCATTCTTTTGCTGACGTTCAAAGCCTAGGTTGTATAAATTTTGAAGCGTACCTTTCGCTTTGATTTACCAATTTTTATTTAATTTAATGTCACTTACTCTACTAAAAAACAATAACTACCAATATTTACTAAAGAAAAAAATATTACGCCCGAAATAAATATTTAAGATACTGATGAAAAACGTATAGTACACAACACAGCCGTTACAGCTAAATATTTTGCATAAGATTGAATGACAATTACATAAACTTTCTTATCAAAATTTTCCTATGTGAACTATCGGCTACATATATACAAGTTTTGCAACAAAAGGTAAACAAAAACTGACATTAGAAATTTGTCGAAATTAAACTTTTTAATTTTTGTTAGGTATATTGAATACACAAATTCATGCATATAATTTAAATTTTAATTATTTACTATTAGAATATAACATTTTAAAATTAGATGGTTTAAATTTTACAATGGCTGAAGCAGAATGGGACAAAAACTCAAACGAACTGGAATTGGATTTACTAACAAATGTACAAAAAGAATTTAATAAGTAAGATGACTTAAAATGAATTTTGGTTTGATTTTTTAAATTTAATTTTCTCAAGAAAAAATTATGAAGCCTGTTTGAAAATCCTCGATCAACAAGGAAGTGGAAATCAAATTTCAGAGTTTAAAAACCATCATAACAAAGCTATTGTAAAATTTTATATGTCAAATTGTAAAGACTACAAAAACTTATTAGAATTTCTGGTAGAGCATGTAGCAAAGGTGAGTTAGATTATTAAATATGTTTTAAAATTGAATGGAAAGTGATTAAAAATTGTTGCAGTTTAAGGGTAGTTCAAATGAGGCGAAATACAGTATCTCAACTGCTTGTTACAATATGGCTGTAATTTACTATCAACTACGAAAACCCTACGCAGCGTTGGAAATTTTAAATACAATAGTAAATAAAATAGAAGATTTAGATGAATCTATTGGATGTCGAATTGGATTATTAATGTTGAGCTTGTTGTTACAAGTGAATCAAGTTAAGAAAGCCGTTTCCTTTCTTAAGGTCTTAGAAAAGCAGTTAAAAATTTGTATTGAAAATTTCACTGTCGAAGAGTATTCATCAGTTGATGATGTCAATGGCACAGATCGTATGTTTCGGCTTATGTCCTTATTAACATCAATTGTTAATCAAAATTTTGTCAATGTTCCTGAAGATGGGGTAGGATAAATAGAAAATTTTTCTATATTTCATTCAAATATTTTGTTTTGATAAAACATTTTTATCCAAACAATAAAATGATTTATTTTTTAGAGTGCTGAATTCGCGGTTTTGAAGGCTCATAGTTATTATGTTGGAAAAGACTTTCAAATGGCTGCCAAACAACTTTCTAAGAAGTTTACAGCAAGTTGGTGTCCAACTATGTAAATTATTCTAATTAGTTTATTTTATATGTTTTCCATTTTGAAAACAAATGTTTATTAAACTAAAAATTTTGTTATATGTTTAGAAATCACGGAGAAAACGAGGACACAGTTATTTCGAACAATATGGGTGTAATACACTTGCGTGTTCGACATTATGCTATAGCAGCAAGGTTTTTCCAAAATGCTATCCAATTCGACTTGAAAATGTCAGAAAATTGGAAAAATTTGTCATTACATAATATGGGTGCATCGAAAATGCCAGAAATCATGTATAACCTGGGTATATCAATGTTACATCTACAACGTCCAAAAGATGCGTTTGATTGTTTTCTAATACCATTAAAGATATATTATAAAAATCCAAGACTATGGTTGCGAGTAGCCGAATCTTGTATTATGTTTTATGAAAAAGTAATGTTTTGAAGATAAGAAAAAAACATAAAATTTTAAAATTCTTTAATTTTAGAATAACACAGAGATTGACAAAAATCGTATAGTGTCATCAGTTATTGGAACTGGAATTCATAGGAAATATGTTTTAGAACCATCGCCGAAGATTAAGTTTTCGTAAGAGATGTAATTTATTTAAGATTTAAAAGAAATAATTATTATTCTATTTTTAGTGAAGATGGACAATCCTCAGCGATTCCTAACCCAAATTTAGAATTTGCCGCTCTATGTCTTCGAAATGCGGTCAGTTTAGTCGAAAGTTATAAACACAAATTTATAACTTCAGAAAATTTAGACGGTATGGAATCAGATAGGGTTTGGAATGAAGTTAATGACAACAATTTTTGTTCTCCTTCAATTCCTGTAAATAAAGAAGCTTTTGATAATCTAAGGGCTGCCATTTATGCTGCTTCTAGCTATGTATCTATCAAACTGGGGGATTTTGTTATAGCACTGGAATACGCGAAAACATTGCTTGAATTGGAAAACCTTTCTGATGCATACACGTGAGATTTTTTTACAAATATTTATTTATTTTATTTATCTTATATATTTTAGAATGCTTGGAAACTTATACTGCGCGGAATCATTGGTTATGCTAAACCGTTTAGTTGAAGCTAGGGTTCATTTAGAACCGAAAATAGTAAAAAATTCCAATTATTTTGATTTTGAGACCCGTCTGTGGCAATTAAACTCTTTAGAAGCAGCGCAAGCAGTAATTAAATATAATTTAGTTGTGATTTTAGTTTTGCAAGGGGAGTTCGATGTAGCTAAGGCTTTTCTTACCACATTTACCCACCCAGTAGTTATGAACAAAGTGAAACTGTTGAAAATGTATATCGAAGTGGCAACTGGAAAATTTTGAAAAATTATTAAAGTTACAAGGATTAAAGCCAATTAAAACATAAATTATAAAAAATATGTGTAAATTCAAAAAATAATGAAAATAGTTTTTAAAATAATTGTAAAGAGAGAATAAAATTTTAAAGATAAAATTATTTTTTTGTTGAATATTTTCTGTAAAATTTGAAATTTTGATTAATTATAGTTTTTTTTCAATAAACAATGTACAATATACAAATAAAATACCATCCGTTATAACTAAATTCAATTAGAAATTTTAAATATAAAATTTAAATTTCGTTAAAGGAAAGGCAAGATTTAAAATCACTTTATTTTGCTTTTCATGATATTACACTGCTTCATTTAGTTAAATGTTATTAAACATTAAAATCTATTAATAAAAATGATTAAGTACGATTATCTATATGGAAATGAATGCTATAAATTGCTGCTAAACCATCCTTTTTATTTAATACACCATCTAAACGATAGTATCCAGGTTTAACAAATCGCCCAAACCTTTTTACTTTAAAAGGATAATTTGTTACATTGTAAACTTTAGCTTTAAAAGGACATTCACTATAATGCGGAGCATTCGAATATTTACTTAATGTTTCATATAGGTATTTTTTGTAAAATGTTTGCATAAATTCACAAGCTCCAATCTTTCGAGAACGATACAATTCTTTATAATTTTCCACTTTCTCTTCTTCATTCGTTTTTTGTTCCACATCATCATCTCGTTTATATAATATAATTTCAGTCTATATAAATATACAATTCAAACATATTCAAAAGATTATATTAATACTCTAAAGTAAAGTGTAAGTATTTTTCGACAAACCTGCCATTCATTATCAATTAAATCAGCATGCTGTTCCACAAATCCATTAATTTCAAATGTCTCGTCATCAAGTTTATTAACAGTTATATTTTGAGAAAAAGCTTTTGCAAGATCAGTAATTTCAAGCTTATCGTAATGATAATTGTAGTCAGTCTAATTGAACACAAAATAATTGTTTAAATATTTGTTATAGAAATGCCTATGTAAATTTAAAATTTCTATGAATACGTACTTCCTGAGAGTGAACTAATTTATTTATAGTAATTAAAATAGTTATAATTGCAATAACTCCTTTTAACATTTTTTAACAAAAATATATTTAATAATATTTTAAAATATAAATTAAATTAATTTTGATAAGACTTGGATCTAACTGAACCTTTGTCGAATTTAAATAATATTGCATTATTTCGCTGAAATTTATATAAAACAGAGAACAATATAATTTCGTGTAATAAGTACATAATAATGTTTTACAAAATCTGATGTTGATTATGTAGGAAATGATTAATTAAATGGCAAAGTTTCTCACGCTATCGCAAAAAAAAAAAAATAATAAAAATATTGATCATTTCTTATATTGCCCAAATTCGAATAGTTTTTGTAGGTAATATTTACCAGCATATTTTTTAATCAATTAAAATTAAAATTTCATTTATAGACTAGCTTTGTTTAAAAAATTTACAGAAAAATTTTTTTCGAGATAATTTTTCTAAATTTCAATTTCCATTTTCAACTTTTTAATTTCAATTACCGTGAAAGACCATGAAAAATTTGATAATAGAAACCTTTTTGATCATATTTTACAGAATTTTCTTCCATTTTTTTGGAGAAAATATTCCTACAGCAGTTGAGATTAAGATTTTAATTAGGAGTAAATTAAAAAATCAAATTCAAATGTTTAAATTAAGTATATAGGAATTTTCATATTAGAAATTATTTCGGAAAATTTTTATTTCTTTACAAAATATTTTCATGTTAATTAAAGAGCTATGATGACAAATAAAAGCTTTTCAACTTTAAATAATGTTTAGAATGATGTTAATATGTACTATTAATATAAAAGCAGAACACATACATATTATAAATAATGAAGTTTTATTTACATTTTAATAGAACTATCTATATGGAATTAGGCATTATCATAAATGTAGTATATCCCAATATATATAGTTAAAACTGCGCTATATTTGTGTTCATAAACGTTTCTAATTTTTCGGAATGTAGCCAAATTACAGTATGGGAAGCTTAGTTAATTCATATGAAATGTTTTAATTTTATATACTAGTATAGTTCGAATTCGATAATTTTGTTCTAACTTAGGTCTTAATAATAAAGCACGATTGATTAATTAAAATTACAAAATTTGCAAAAATACCATGTTTTAAGGTTATTTTGTATATTTATTGCAAGACTATTATAAATTAGAAGAAGAGCAGCATACTTAATAGAAAAATTTTGGATATTGAAGAATTACTCGATTATGGTACAAATCTGCAAAAGTAAAATATTCAGTTTCTGCAGATTTATAAGTATGTCCATAAAAACTTTTAAGATTTAATTTAGAACATGATTTATTCATCACGTTATATTTTTGCAATGCAAATTGCATTTTACAGTTGGTATTTTGCAGTATTGTGTTCATGAAAATCTATATATATATATATATATATATATATATATATATATTTTAATTCAACGTTAATTATAAGTTTCCCATTTTAATTGTTCTCTTTCTCTTCATCTTACTCATATACATACATACAATTAATTTTCTTCATTTAATAATATCTTTCTGTTATTCATATTAATTAATGGCATATGGTTACTCTATTGCTACAAACAAAAAAAAAATTCCATTGCCTATTTAAAAAAAAAAAGAAAACTTTATTGTGAATTTTTTCATATTCTATCTAGAATTATAAATAATAACTTCCTAAATAATAAATGAGTAACATTTAGTAAAAAAAAAATTACTATAAATCTATGAACGTTATTGGAGAGAGGGAGATTTTTGCAAAGTAAAAAAATATAGAGCAATTGAAATTTCAAAAAAATTAAATTTAATTTTTTATGTAAATATTTAAATTAAAATTTTTTTTTTTTTTTGGATTTTAATTTTTCATTAGAGCCTAGTTTAAAGTTAGGCAGTTAATAATAACAATAATATTAATATATTGTTATAATAAGTGATAAAATTTGTTAAATAAAAGTTAAATAAATATTTTGCGATTCAAGGTACAATTGGTATTTGGTAGGTACCTAAAAAAGTTCAATCGGTTCAATAGTTAAATGGTTTTTTATTATTATTTTTATTTTAGTATTCATTTGTTCTTATTATAGTTAAGTATATTTATTAATTCAAAATCAATGTAAAAAAAAAATAATACTCTAAAAATTGGAGAACAAAAAAAAATTTAAAGTGAAATAATTTTTTTTGTAAAAAATGATTTTTGATTGTTAGAGAGTGTTGTTGTATATTGCTCATCACCATTATTTTTGATATTTATTCTAAAATTCTTTTGATTAAGTTTGTACTTCTAAGAAATATTTTTTGTTTAAATTAAATAGAATATTCGAAAATTTCCTTCAATTATTGTTATATTTTTCAATTTATTTACTTTATTAATTGTTATAACGATTGCCTTTATAACAGAATAATATATTTATCATATTTTTGCAATATAATATTGTTATATAAATTTGAACAAGTTTATAATGAGAATAATAAAAAAAAGACATTCTTAATTAATTAATTTTTTTGCCAAAAATATCAATAATTTAAGAAAATTAATTTTTACAATAACATTTAATTTAATTATAAAAATACATAATAAATAATATAAGTGTTATATCAGTATTATTATATTAACTCAATCACTCTTTTACTTTTTGGTTGACATTTTGGTGAAAAAAAAATTACTCGTATTTAAGCAATTTGTTATACACATTTTGAAAATTAAAGTTGTGATTTTTTGTTTCACTATATTATAATTTAGTGTTGTATAATTCACATAAAATATTTTATAGAATTTATATTATAATAAAATAATATTAATTCTAATTATATTACATACACATATACGTTAAGTAGCTAGTATGAAATATATTTCATTGTTACATTGAATTTTTTCAAAATCCAATTTATTCAATTATTTGTATAGTTATAGTATTTACATGGGAAATGTTACACGCTTGACTTACTTTCAATGTGCTTTTTTAATTATTTCATTAAAATTTCTTGCATAACAATTTGATTTTAATTAAAAAAAAAAAAAAAAGTAAATACATATTATTATTATTACGAATATACAATTTTGCTTTTTCTACATATTTTAGTTTTTGTGAAAGTAAAGAAGATTATTGTGATAAATCAAGAATAATAATAATAATTCTATAATCTATAATATCATTGGGATTTTATAAAATATTGCAATGAACGTTAATATTATATTAAAGTATAAAATAGTAAAATATGTTTTTCAATTATAATGATTATTATTCATTAAAACAGTAAATTAAAATTATCATAATAAATTTCTATAATTTTTAACATTTCAAGAATTTATTAGTGTGAACGCAAGCATATCAAGTAAAAGTGAAAGCTATGATAGTCTCTTTTTCTTGCAGAATTTTGTACTGTAGGTTTTGAATTTTTAAGCGAGTTTCTCCATTAAAATAAATTAAAAGTGTGCTATTTAAAAATTCTTAAATGTCGATGGGTCTTTCAATATAATTATGTTTCTTAAATCAAATATGACGTATGTGATTTATATTGAGATTATTACATAATGTATGACATTAACTATATTTACACAAAGAAAATATATACAACTATACATAAATAAAAAAAAGCATACAATTTTAAAATATTTAAGTAATATAATTAAATATATTTTAATATTAAATAGTATTTTATTATTTTCAGATATGGTGCTATATGATTAAATATAAAATTTGAATAAAATTCTTCATAATAATCTGAAAACCATGGGAAAATATAATTCCACAATGGTTAGTGATCATGTATATGTTAATGATGCTTTAAAATGTTCAACTATTAGTATTACAAATAGCCAGAATAATGATTCCAAATATCCAAATGAAGTGAAATGTATGTAAGATTATATATTTATATATATAAATAATTATATGTTATCTATACTATATACATATTAAAAATATTTTAGTAATGGAAAAAAACAAAATAGATTCAACATCTGGAAATATGAAAAAATTATTTTTATTGGCGAAAAATAAATGTAAACGTCGTTTAACAAAGAAAATTTTATATAAAAGATTACCAATTTTAACATGGTTACCAAAATATAGTAGTGATGATGCAATTGGAGATATAGTTGCTGGATTAACTGTAGGATTAACCGTTATACCTCAAGCTCTTGCATATGCATCAATTGCTGGCTTACCAGCTGCAGTAAGTATATAAGTTCTAAATGTAGTCTAGATGTAATGTAACGGTTTGGATAACTGAAAAGGAATTTTTTTTATGTTCAGGGGAAAATTTTTCTGCATTTCTCTAGTATTATAGTACTTTTCTGTATTGGAATAAGAAAATAAAATGCGTTTTAAATTTTATGTAGATTAAATCAAAGCTCACATTTTTATTTTTATTTCAAATGTCAATTGCTAGTTTTTACACTTTTTACATTTTAAAAATTGCTGAGCTTTATCACTTAATAATTTTAGAATTTGAAATTTTTTTTATCTACAAATATAATTTATTTTTTATTTCAGTATGGTCTTTACGGATCATTCTTTGGATGTTTTATTTACATTTTTCTTGGGAGCTGTAAAGATGTTCCAGTTGGACCTAGTGCAATAGTAGCTTTAATGACTTTTAATAATGCTGGAGGCTCATGGCAAAAATCGGTTTTGTTATGCTTCCTATGCGGTTTAGTTGAACTTGCTATGGGTTTATTAGGATTAGGATTTTTAATAGATTTTGTATCAGATCCTGTTTCTTCTGGATTTACTTCAGCTGTATCTTTAATTATATTGACATCTCAAGTAAAAGGTATTTTAGGTATAGATGCTAAAGGTACTTCATTCATAGAAATTTGGAAACATATATTTAAAAATATTGGTCAAACAAAACCCGCTGATACAACATTAGGAATTAGTTGTATTATAATATTATTTATTATGAAGGTAATGAAAAAATATTTGTATTAAAAAATACAATATTTTTACAAAATTTTTTTAAAGTAGAAAATAGCAACTCTTAAAATTGGCCCCGAAGAAGCTGAAATGCAAACAAGAAAACATAAAATTATTAACAAATTATTTTGGGTACTGGGAACGGCTAGAAATGCTGTATTGGTTTTACTCTGTGGAGTGATTGGTTATGTATTTCATTCTTCAATTTATGGAGCACCATTTCGTTTAATTGGTCAAGTACCACCTGGTTTACCAAATTTACAATTACCTCCATTTTACATATACGCTAATGAATCGTTTATCGGCAAAAATGAATCATTTTTGGATATTGTTTCACAAATGAGTACAGGATTAATAATGGTTCCTTTAATTTCATTAATGGAAACAATATCAATATGTAAAGCTTTTGGTAAGAATATTTGCTATTAACATTATGCAAGTTTTTTCCCATATTATTGAAATGAATTTTTATTTTTTCAAATAAGCTAATGGGAAGTCAATAGATGCAACTCAAGAATTAATAGCTTTAGGAGCAGCAAATATAGCTAATTCATTTGTACAAGGTTTTCCTGGAACTGGTGCTCTTAGCCGTGGAGCTGTTAATCATGCTAGTGGAGTAAAAACACAAATGGGAAATATATATACTGGTTCAGTTGTGATATTAGCATTGATATTCTTTACTCCTTATTTTTATTTTATTCCAAAATCAACATTATCTGCAATTATTATAGCAGCAGTGATATTTATGGTTGAAATAAAAGTTATAAAACCTATGTGGAGATCAAAAAGTAAGATTTTTAAAGATATATAAATTGAGTGAAGATTTTTATTTAATAAACTATTTTTAGAAAGTGATTTAATACCTGGAATTGGAACATTTTTGGCTTGTCTTGTAATGCCTCTAGAAATCGGAATATTTTGTGGTGTCGGTTTAAATATATTATTTATTCTTTATTATGCAGCTAGACCTAAAGTTTCTGTTCAAATATTAGAAACATCAAAAAATGTTAGTTATGTAATGATAACACCAGATCGATGTTTAATATTTCCATCAGTAGATTATGTACGAAATTTAGTCATGAAACAATCAATTTCAAAAAATCTTCCAGTTGTTTTAGACTGTACACATATTTATGGAGCTGATTATACAGCTGCAACTGCAATATCAGCGCTTCTTCAAGATTTTGAAAATAGAGGTCAAGTACTTATTTTTTATAATTTAAAACCAAGTGTATCACATGTATTTGAAGGAATATCTCATAAAGACTTCACAATTTATTACAACGAGGATCAATTAGATGATTTGATAACAGATAAAAAAATCATTGAGTCATCAATTTTATAAGTATATTTAATGTAGTTATAATATACCTATATATATTAAGGTTTATATATCATATTATATTAAATACATACATGCATACGAAAATTATTTCACAAAATAAATAACTTTTAAATAAGTTGATTAGTTGATAAAAATGCATTTTTCATATACAATTATTTTGTTATTGTACACGTACAATTGATGCTATGGTTAAAATCCTGATTAAAATGTATATTTGAATTTCTATTCTGATCGTAATACTGCAATAGTTAAAATTATTCAATAAATTGAAATTCAATTCTTTGATTCCATATTATTAAAACAACTGCAACAACAAAATGCGTACTGCGTTAGTCCAAAATTTAAAAGTTTGTAATATTTGTAAATTATTTTTTAATAGACCTACTTAATTCCAAAACTTTCTTTAATACAACAATGTTATAATTATGAAATGTATATGCAACCTAATACAATTGTACTGAATTCAAATATAAAAAATACTAAATTTTCTGTTCAAAAAACTATAGACCAATTTTATTGTTCTTAATTCTATTTTGCAATTGTAATTAAATAATTTTTAGTATATATAGGAAGAAATTAAATATTTGACATAACAATCATAATATACACAAATTATATATCAATATTATCAATTATATATAATTCCAAAAACCATAACTTTTAACACAAACTCTATTTTAAATCTAATTTTTAAAATATTAAGTGACCTAGCTTATTTTTTATATATAACATAAATCCCTAAATTTCTTGGTCATATAAAATTTCTTTATATAACAATTTATTTAAGAATGATGCATTTAATAAGTTTTTAACTTACATAATGAGAATATTATCAACATACATATATAATCTATATCATCTACAAAATAATGTTGAATGCATATTATTAACACCTATACATATATATTATTAAGCAAATTACTTTACCTCTTTCAAAAATACCTACATATACAAACAGATAAAATATAATGAAATAGTTCCTGTTTATGAATATCAATATACATAATATATAAAGTATCACATACATTTAAAAAAATACCCATTATTAAGTATAACAACTTATAGCTGAACCACAAATAAACAACAAAAAAAAAGACAATTTATTTCTACATTATATTTAATATATATACATATATATATGAAAACAATTTTTTACACTCAATAAAATATTTACTCATATTTTAAAAGAAAAAATCGCTATAAAAAACACCCTATTTATTTAGGGTAGTTGTAAATTTGTATACGTACATATATGTATATGAAAAGCTTTTTAAATGCTCTTTTTTTTTTGGAAATATGGAAAATAGCATGAAAATCAAATACACTCTAATATATTAATGTTGACTTGAGTAGGTTAGTGGGTAAAATTGCCTTTATTTTATTTTTTTTTTAATTTAATTGTTGTGTTGTTTTGTATTATATATATTAAAATATATATATATATATAAAATAGAAATATTTGGGAGTACAATTTTATATGTTTATACATAGTTAATATATTTTTCCAAATTAAATGCTCAAAAAATGTTGCTTGAAGCTATCCCCTGAAAAGCTTTCCTTTCAATATATTTGTGTATATTTTTTAGTTTATTTTTTTTTTTATTATTGTTTTCTTCTTTTTCTTCTTTTAATTCAGGGATAAAATGTAAAAGTTTTCTATGGTTGATTTTAATAATTCTTGTAATATCCTTTTGCAAGGTCTTCCTTTTCTTTTACATAGAACTACCTCAATATAATAGATGTGGCTATAAAAGAAACCACCGGAAAAGTTTATCACTAATTTATTGCAAAAATATAAATTAAAAAAAAAAAAAACAAAAAAAAAACAAAAATTTCTATATGAAAAATTCTCATATTTATTGTGCTTAAAAATATTTTTTTTTTTTGTTTTTTAATTAGCGTCAATCTAGTTAAATTTCACTTTGCAATTCTATATATAAAAAATTTTGAATTTCTCTTTAGTTCCTTATTTTGTTGATTTTTTTTCAAATTAAATTTATATAGCAAAAAAAAAAAATTAAAAAAGTGAGTTGTTAAACTTAGAGTAATATTCAATAATTAATCAAATAATTAATTAAAGAAATTTTAAATAATTAAAGACAAAAATATTTTTAAGTATAAGGTGGGACCGAAAATAATAATGTGTTTATATATTTTCTTATTTTGCGATTTTGAATAAATTTGAATTTTGAATTTGAAAAATTAATGAATATCAAAACAATTTGTAATTAATTTAAATTTACATACATATATATATATATATATATATATGTATGTAAATATAATATATATATATATATATATATATATATATATATATATATATATACATAAATATTATTGGTTTTAACTTTTAATTCAAAAAATTTCTCTTAAATTATATTTTAATTTAATTATTTCCAATAATTTTTTTTGCAATTCGACCAGTTTTAAAAAAAAATTTACTGTTGAAAAAAATTTATTAAAATAATTAAATTTAAAAATCTTAATCTTTTTTTTTTATTTAATTTAATTTTTTATGTTATTATTTTTATGATAATTGTAATCAAACTTTATTTAATCTGTGCAAACATTTATACTGAATTGATATTTAATATAAGTAAGTATTTTTATATATTTAAAAAACTTAAAAAAAATTCAAATTTAAACATTTACACAAACATATTACACTGTCCACGTAAATATATATATATATATATATATTTATATATGTATATATTTATATGTTTAAAAATAAACCGGGACATTGACTTGATTTAATTAAGCTTCACTTACACACTATATATATATATATATATATATATAGAAAAATTATATTTTTGTTTAAAACTCTTATTGAAAGAATAAGATATATAAAATAAACGTAAGTATATAATACATATATAATTTATATGCATATGCCTTAAGAAATTTCTCTTCTCTTCATTTAGAATATATATATATATATATATATATATATATACTAAATATTTTATTTAATAAATTGGACAATTGCCATTTTCATTTGATAATTATTATTATTATTTGAAAGACAACAAAATTTATTAAAATTATTATTTTATACAATATAAAGACGTGATTCTGTTATTAATAATAATAATAATAATAATAATAATAATGTAAATAAAAATCCTGTATGTAGGAATATGTAATTGATATCAGTTCATTGATGTCTCAATTATACCTTCAAGCTTCGAAATAAAAACAAAATATGTAGCTATAATGAGTTTTTATTTAAAAAAATTTTTTTTCCTCTAATTTTATATATATGTATATATGTATACGCATTATTATGTACTTTCCCGCCAGTCAACGTACATAAATAAAAGCAAAATTGACATTATTGTTGATGATATTTTTTGGCCTCAACAATAATAATTTTTTTAATTAAATAATTTTTTCTATATGAATATTAAATTATGTATAATTGTATAATTATTATTTTCTCTTTTTATTTGTGTGGGATTTATTTTTGTTTTGTTGTAATTTACTTACGTTATAACTTTATATCATAATATTATATGTAGTAATTTTTAGTCTATGAGTAAGTTCCTAATAAAAAGTGTTACCAAATAGTTTATTTAAATTACAAAATTTTGTTAGTTTTATTGCTTAAATTAAATTTCATATTGATTGAATAAATTATTATTTCAAATAATTTTGCATACTTTTAGGTTTTTTTTTTTAATGAAAATTTAGTGAAATTGTATAATGAATTTAAAATTTATGGTGAATTAAAACAGCGGAATCAATATGGGTTAGGGCCCGGAAAGAGATGCAATTATTAGTTTTTCAGCTTAAATATGTTTATATTTAAGCGTATGATCACATGCAATTAAGCAATCAAACAGTTTGTAATTAATTTGCGGAAATTCATTGCAGTTTTTTGTTGACGCACTCGATTTGAATTGACGCAATAGTTTAGTTGTTTAGATGTGTGCATAATAATTGTTTTACAGTCAAGTTGTAATTGTAAAACTAAAAATTGCATGTCTACCTGAACCCTTAAGATTTTCATACTCTTCTAATTTATAGTTCTTACTCTAATTCTTAAATGATTTTTCACATTTTGACAAAACTTTTAATTTAAAAGATTCACTAATTTTTTAATGAATTTACAGAATTTGATTTTTCAGAATTTATTTAATATTTATCGATATTTTTTTTTTTAAACATACCAATATTTCAAATTCAGATATTATAGATTATTAAATGAAAATGTACTTTATCAATATCCTTTAATAATATGAAAGCCTTAAATTTGCAAAAATTAACTTATCAGACTTATATTTTGATTTTTTTTTTTTACTTTTCTTTTTTATTTTGTTATATTCAATCAATGATGTAGAATTTGTGATAATTAGATTTTATATAGAAATTTTATTTCTTCATATATATACTCATGAGAATAATAATATATATTATACTTGATATCAATATTCAAAGAAGGTTTCTTATAATATTATGATAAAATAAAATAAAAAAATTTTTTATTTAAAAATAAATATATACATATATATATATTTATGTACGTTTCTATACCTAACTATATCTACCTACCTACATATATATTGTAAATATAATGCAATTTGCCTTATAGTCCTCTGAATTTTGTTCCCATCAAGTTTTGAGATTTTTACTCAGTAATTTTTATACAAATACAATTACAAATGTTATATTAATGTAAAGTGTGTGTGTGGTGTCAAGCACAATTTCTCTCAATTTTTTTTTTTATTTTTATATTTTCTTTTTTTTTTTTTGTTGAAATTTGTGCTTTTGAGCTTCTTGTACCAGAAAAATTTTCCCAGTTTTTCACGAGATTTCAATGCTATATTATGTCACGAAATCTGTCCGGTATTTCATATTAAAAAAAAAAATTATATTATTATAAGTATATATATAAATTTACAGTTATGTTGTGAATTAAGAAATAATATATATATATATATATATAGATAATATTTGAAAAGAAAAGAAAAATAAAAAAATTTTAAAATAATTTTTTTTTCTTCTTCTTCTTTTTCCTCTTTGTTTTTCTTATTCTTGTATATGTTCTTTTTAAATTCTTATATTTATAAAAACGCGTGTCAATTTTTTATCAAATATATTATTATTTTATTATAAATTTTTTTATTTTAAATTTTCATTTATTTTGAGTAAAAAAAATTCTTTTCATACATAAATTCAATTATATATATATATATATATATATCAAATAATAATTTAATATAATTAACTGCATATGTATATATACGTGTATAATAAATAGTCAACATTTATAATACTGAAGGAAATAAGAAAATAATAATAACAACAACAACAAAAATACAAATAATGCTGGATTATCTATAAATCTAAATCTAAAAGTGTACATAATATAATTGCATTAATAATTATTAATATATTCATCGTGCGGTTATAATAATGAGAAAATTTTATTTTTTTTTTTGTTATTAAAATAAAATTTTGTTAAATATATTAAATATAAATAAATTTATATACTTATAATATATAAAATATTCAAAAATATAAAATGCCTATATATCATATATACAAATAATCTGATTGTGAATTAAAATTAATTAGTAATTTAAGAAAGAAAAAAAAACAAAACAAAAAATATATATAATAGACATTTTAATATTCAGCCTAAGTATATATATCTATATAAAAGTGAATTAAAGGAAAAAAGAAAAAAATTTAGCAAGGATAATTTCAGTAAAGGAAAAATTTTATCATATACTCATACATATATATATATATATACCTAAATAGGTCTTGTGTTTTTCTTGCTTTTCCTGATTTAGCAAATTATATATATTAAATAAATAGAATAATATAATATATATAAAAAACAAATTTTTGTTATATTCTTATAAAAAAAATGAAATTCCTTTTCAATTATCGTGTTAAATTATAATTTACATTCAATTTTATATCAAAACGCATATATATCGTAAATATATATATTCTATATATATGTATACGTATAATTTTTACTTATCGCATTGCATTAAAGCTTATAAACTATAAGTATAATACATAAAGAAAACTGTCAGGAGGAGGATGGATGTTTACATTATTAAGAATTGTCTTGATAAAATATAATTTTTTTTTTTGTTGTTTATTACGTAAGTACATTTTTCAACTAAATTTCTTTTATATTTTTCTTGGTTTTTTTTCTTGTATTTTTTGTTTTGGAAATATTATGTTTTTTGTTTTGTTGTCTTGTTTATTGTTATATTATTACAAGTACATAATAATTATTGTTATAATGTTTAAGAAGGGAATATTATTTTTTTTCTTTATTTTTTTATTAATGCAAAATATTTTAACAAAAGTTATATAGGAAAATTGAAATATTTATTAACATTATTTTGTAATAATAATAATAATAATAATATTATGCACTATATATATATATATATGTATATTTTAATGGTTTTAAAACCTATTTTAATATAATGCATATTAAATGTAAATATACATGGATATATATAATATATATACATGGATATATCACATATATTATATGATAGATTATAAAAAATTCAATAATAATTTTCTTAAGGGATATTCTAAAAATGCTTAACAATTTTTATTAAACACATTTTTATGTTTCAACATACACACATACTTATCATGTACATATGTATATACTAACATAATGTTGGATTATGTCTACAACTCAAAGCAATACTGAAATAATGCTTAATATAATTCAAAATTTGAATAATTTAGAAAAAAAATTAAAATTGTGAATTTATAATATTTTAATATATTCAAAGAAAATATTATCATACCCTTTTTAAAATTTCAAGAATATGCATAAATTCAACTATTTTAACATTATAGCAGCCGAATTTAATATTATCTATTTAATATCGTATATTATTTATTATTTTTTTTTTATATGGCCTTCATAACCCTTGATAGGTTTTTATCAGACCCTATGATACACATTTTAAATTTTTATAATATATTATATACAATATTTTCATATATATAGAAAATTTCTCAATAATATATAAATTTAATTGCAATATTTCATTGAATTTGAGCCGACCGATTGGTGAAAAAATTACAAAAAATGAAAAAGAGAACTAAGTACTTAAATTTTAGTGATTAAAATTTAGAAAATTTTCAATTTAGAAGAGTGGCAGAGTTATTTTGGATTTTTAAAATTTACATTTTATTATTGCTGATGACACATAATACAATAACAATAATATATTTTATTTTAAGGATTTTCTTAAAGTACATATATATACATAAGTATAGTAATAATGAGAAAATTATACCATATTATCAAATATTAAAAACTTTAAAATTTCTTTTTCAAATATGCTTTAATTTTTGTATAAAATACAAAGAATAATTTTATAAAGGATATTTTATTATGGGATAATCTCAATGTTTCTCATAATCCATATTATTCATAGTGTGTATTATGATCTTAAGAAAATATAAATTTAAAATTATAATTGAATCTTTGTTATATGTAAATTTTAAATATAAAAAATAAGCATAAAAATATATGTATATTTATTTATGTATATTACTGGGTTTTATAAAAGTTTGATTGTTTTATATTTGAGTGTAAAAAAAAAATATAATTTGAAAAAGAAATAAGAAACAAACAAATAAACAAACTTTGTGTATACATATTTATTACATATAATTTACATATTATAAATATTTGAATTGTTAATTTACAGTACATATATATATACATAATATTAAAAGTTAAATAAAAAAGAGCATATATAGAATTTAATTTTTTAACAAAATTTTTAATTTATTAAAGAATAACTTCTTTTGTTTACATATTCGTTCTTCATATTATATACCAGTATATTATATATATATATATAATATACATACTGCATATATGCAGTATGTGCAGTATGTACATATACTGCAATAATTTTATTTGAAACAGAAATCAGAATCTGCGATATAGTGTTGCGATATTTAGATTTTTGAATTTCACATAAAATACAATATTATTTTAATCTAGATTCTCGCACAAATAATTTAAAAATTCTCATAAATATTCCCATACTCATATGAAACGCCAAAAGCACATGACAAAACTCGATAATATAACAATAAAATGACATGCGACATATATAAATTATAAAGTTATTAAATATTTTCAAATAAAATATATCATGCGGAGCCCTTCCAAATTTTGTTTTGTAGCTTCTTTAATTCGAAATATTTGATAATATTTGCGCTCAGTAATGTGAACTATGACAGAATTATGAGTTACAAAACTGCCTTGATATTTCTTTTAATAAAATAAACCCATACATACCATATTTGATATGGTATGTATACAAATATGGAATTTGTATAATACATAAAGATATCATACAAATTCCTTCTTCATAACTTTAATAATTTTAATTTAATAATAATTTTTCATATTTAAATTTTTTAATAAAAAGAACAAAAAAAAAAAGAAGAAAAATATTAAAAATTTTTTATATAAATACGCTAAAATAATGCCGAAATATGAAGAAAAAATTTTTTTAATAAGTGAATATGCACTCATTTTAATAAAAATAAAAATATTTTGTCCGTTTTGCGTAGACGGCCACAGTTTTATGACAATTTCGATATAAAAAAAAAACTACGTTTAAAAATTATAAAAATAGAAATAAGAAATATCGTATATATGTATACATACATACATTTGTGTATGATGGGATATATATATATATATATATATATATATATATATATATATATATATATATATATATATATATATGTATATACATTTTTTGTTTTTTTGCCAAATTAAAAAGTAAGTTGACAAACTAAGAATGTCTATAAACATATAATATGCTAGTTTGGTATATATGTACATACATATATATATATATTAATTATGTATATAATACTGTACATATTGAGAGTTTTGCTATGGTAAGCAGAACGGCAGGCGGGTATATTATAAAAAAGTGAAGCTTTACATTTTTGTGTTTTTATTTTTTAAAGAATTTTTTATTTTCAATTTAAATAATATTGTGTGTTCCATCGAAGACAAACAAACAGATAAACAGAACAACACACGAAGAAAATGAAAAAAACATAATTTTAGAAAATATTTCTACATAATATATATGCATACATACATACTTATATTTTACTTAATTTGAAAAATAATTTATTAATAAAACATGCGATTATACAAAATTATAAAAAAAAAATTACTAACTATCTCGTATATCTACTAAATTTTTTAGGAAAACTTTGATTTACTTTTTTTTTTTGATAAAATTTTTTATATTTAAATTTTAATATTTTTTTTTGTTACCTAAATTCTATTTTAGAAATTAACTAAAATATATTTTTAATATATATAAATATTATTATTAAAAATTTTTAAAATATGATAACAGAAAAATAATTTTTGTTTAAAAACTGGAAAGGAAAATTTTAAAATCAAAATTTTTAAAATATTTTCCAGAAAAAATTGTACTCTGTTTGTTCGTCCTTAAATAGAACTATAACAATATTAATTTTTGCTTTAGTCTCAATTGAATACCGCAGGATATCTTAAATTGAGAGAGACTTTTTTTTGTTGAATTTTTCAAATCGCAACTATGGCAAGAACCAGTCCCAGTAGGACAATCTTCCTCATTTTCTTTACTGATCTGCATGCAGTATATATATGTCTCTGGGCCAAATTTTAATTTTAACTCTTTAAATTTTTGCATCACACCAACAGTTTTTTAAAACTGCTTCGCCAGAACGTAGGACCTTGGAGAACCGACTTCAAAAACGTTGTTGAACAAAAGTTGTAGAGATTTCGGAGAACTTTTTAATGTACAATATAATATGTTTTTAGAACTTTTTAACACTATACCAGTATCTTGCACGATGACTACCCTCGAATCACACTTGTTCATTTTCAATTGATTTATATTTCTCCAAGTATATAAATCTAAGACAATTTTACAAATCTATACTCTTTAGCTCTTTACATTCTCAAATGAGCTCTTCAGCAATGAATTCACAACGGGTATAAAAAATGGCATAGAACTACAGGTATAAAAATTAAGTGTAAAATACTAAAACTGTTAGAAAAAAATATTTTCTACCCTGCTCCTCTTCTAAGTTATTTCTATTTAAAATTAGCAAAATTCGCATTTGAAACATAAAAAAAAAATATTATGATGACAATGTTTTCACTTGTTCAAGGGAAATATGCTATTTTACAAATCATTATGATTTGATCTCAATTTATTTTCTTGTATTTATGTATTAATATATTGCTATAAGTTGTAATACTAGTAGGAGAAGGAGGAAAGTATACAATATGTAGGAATGCATGTTAATCATAGGAAAAAAACGTAAACATAAGTTTTTGATGCTTAAACATCTTAACTTTAATAGAAAAGATGAAACTTTTACATACTTACATATACACACATAAATATTATTCAATTTTAAAAACAATAAAAAGCAAATGTTTTTCTAAAACTTACTATGTATAAAAGTACATAAAAATTAAAATAAAAAAAAAATGAGAAGAACATTCATTTAAGTAGTACGCCCTACTACTATAAATGTACATTATTTCTTATATTATAAGATCGCGAAAATTGTTCAATTTTTTAATTTGCTTAATAGATCTTATAAGTCATATTCAAGAATTAAGGTCATATACTATATAAAACTAAGCCAAGCCACAGACCGAGCAACATCAAAATATTGTATAAAAAAAATATTTAAGTGTACCTCTCTGTATATATACACACACAGTATATACACACTATATATGCGAATGTTTCAAACTTAAGTATATTCATATATACATACATATATAAATTAATATATGTAAGTACCGCGATTTGTAATATTATATATATATATATATTGTACTCATATATTATTACGGAAATAAACAATGCATTAATTTTTTATTGGATTTCCGTTTATATTCTCATAACTAACATAGAATTTTACATATATATGTAAAGTCTACGACAATAAGTTTTAATTTTTGTTTTTTTATATAGAATTAGAAGATTTTCATAAGATGTATGATTTGCCATGATAAATTTACAGAACAGAAAATAAAAATAAAATAATAGGAACAAAAAAAAAATTACTT